TTCCAACACAAATTTGTGCCCCCCTAAAATTCGGCAACCTGAATGTTTAGACACAAATCCAAAAACGCTCGAGTTCTTGTGTGCTAGAGAGGGAACCCTTCCACAAATTTTTCAATACAGTAGTGAGGTAAGTTCTAAAATAGGTCATAACTGTGCCTATTTTAAGAGTTGGATTTGTGTAATATCACTACACTAAAGAAAACGCCTAGATAATAATATGACAATATTTACTTTACAACAAATGTCTGAATCTAGTAGGCCCAGAATATCAAATAATAAAACTAATAAACGTATGTACAAATTTGGAAGAGTACTGTTTCCTTCGATAAGATGGATCCGTGAATGTAAATGAGTAGCTCTGCTATATCAAACATGGTTGTGTGGACACAGGAACACGTATATAATACGTGCCGTACATTAAAAATACATGTTTAAATATTGATCATTCGTATCAACCATTGTTGTAAACTAATCTCAAAAACTACAGAAATTTTTTTCCAAAAAATTTACATTTAGAGTCCGTTATTCATACGAAGCCCTAGTAATTCGATCGTCAGCATTGATTCTAGAACAATTAAATCATTCAAAAGGTATTATGATCTCATTCAATTCGAAAATTACTGAGATAGCAAGATATGATAATCAACCCTATGCTGTATCACTCTCGTTATTCTATACGATCAATCGTTATCGCAGATTAACGATCAAAGGTTATGATGACCACAACGACTATCGATAAACGCAATATGCTGTATCAATATTTTAACGGTATCGTAACGTTGCCCGGTATCTCGCAGTGGCTATTTCGGAAAAAAGTGTCACATTCTAGAAGACAAGGAACGCTGCGCAACGGCAGTGCGTGTAAGAGTGAAATACCACAGCGATAAAATATGAGGGCGTTGTGGTGCGCGCTTTATCTTTAAACAATTGCCCGCCAGATTTGGAAATGCAGACGTTTCTTTAAAATTATTTTTCTATTTCGGTGTCACAATGATGATTTTGTACAACTGTTTTAGGCCGAAAACAGTTGTACAAAGACAGTGATTATAGTCGTTTTTTTGGTAACTCATCTCTTAAGTTGGCAGTTACTAGTTAGTACAAGTCAATGGTACAAGTAGGTACTTCCATGTTTGAACTTCAAAATGTCAGTCTTACTACGCTGCCAACCTAAAACTTAACGGCATAAAAAGTGTTCCCAACATAAAACATGTTAGTTCTAATGTTCCCTATAGTTTCTGATAATGATTTTTTTAATTAATTTAAAGCACCGAAATAGAAAAAATAGTATGAAAAACGCGTGTTACAATGCTTTATTGTAATACTCCTATCTTGCGGACACTCGTGGCTACACTTCGCGTCGCCACTCGTGCCACAAGATAGTCGTATTACAATAGGTCGCATTGTAACACTTGTCTTTCAATATACTATTATACTATCAATCAGATNAACATGAATAACGCTAAATACTGCAGGCACGCTATTGAAATCTCTAGTAGTATATCGACTTTTAAAACACCACATTTTTGAAAATCCCTCCCGTTATTTTTCAAAATAACACGAGAGTATTTTGTTTTCCAATTTCGTAATTATTATGATAATACTATTTTGAAGGCGGCAGTATATTGCTAAGCTTGTTATTATTGCAGTTGCGGAGTTGGTTAAATTAGCAAATTTTTTCATACAATTGCAATGGTCAAATCAGTAAAACAACTGCACATCAGGTTATCTAGATTTTCTATAAAGTAACTTTTTCTTAAATGGAACGGCCTGTATTCATAAAAAAACTGTCAATAAAATGAAATTAAAGGATCAGTAGTGACCAAAGTTTTTTAGGCAAAGATTGTGTGCGACCGATACTTTAAACAGGAGAAGAAATAGGCAAAATATGCTGGAAAATAATAATACATAATAGCTCTAATTCAAGTGCCAACTTCAATTTAAACACATTGTATATCTTTCCATTTGGCATTTCAGTCACGAAGTTTAGAAATTATCTACAGTGACTTTATAGAGACAGTGGCGACAATAGGAGTTCGGCCGCCATTTTGCGTCAAAAAGTTGGCAACACACAATACTCGTACGCATGTGTGGCATACGCCGCAATATATTAGGGAGCAGTCAAAATACCGGCGCTGCGCGCTGTGGTTGCGTTACACATATTACGGCATGAACGACTATTTTCTAAACGTTTTCTTGCAGGTGAAGGAAATGAAAAGACAGTAATATCAAGAAGAACGGATTATTACACTTATTAAATACAACACAAAATTCCTCTCCAATCAATTTATTACCAAAAGACGTATAATTATGATTTTCGCTACCATTGAGTAAGTCTAATTGAAAACACTTTTTGATCATCCCACAAGTCACACATCAGTGGGTTCAGCATCATATCTTTCAACTTCCACAGCTCCGCCTGAGTGGATGGTCCAGATTCCATCAACTGCTTTCTGAAAACCATCCTTTCAATTGAACGTGTTACTCTGCCTCGTCAACATAATCTCTTCGCTGAATCCAACTCATAGAAATTGTTCGATGGGCTATTGCACTGCGAGTCGAATATGGTGTTGCGTTTCACAACAATATCCTCAATTGCTGCCACATTGTCACACATATTAGGTTCCGCCACATTAGTTTTCAGCTATTTTTCGATGCCTTTGTCCTCCAATGCTAATTGCACGCGGAAATACAATTAGGTATTGAATTCACGCACAAATTTTTTATCGTCTGCCTCTGGCACTTGACTGCAGAAGTCGCTAATGTCAGGCTGTCATCTGTCATGGTACTATTTTTTGTAGGAATATCATGGCACCTGTCCTTCAAATTTGTCAACCAGCGACGTTTATAGAAGCGCGGGAATGCGCGTGAGCGTATCTATTACCGGAAACACGTGAAATTTGACGCAAAATGGCGGCCGATCTCAACGACCAATCAAAAATTAGACACTCTATTGTCGCCACTGTCTCTATAAAGTCACTGTACTTACTATCGGCAGAATGAAAGCGACATTGCACTTGTATTGTAGCTACTGACATTTTATTTAGTTGACACAATTACCTTCGCTGCAATATCAAAGTAACAAAAAATTAATTTAAAAATCTCGGTTTTGTAACTTTCCGAAGGCATTTCAATGGATTCGTGCTGCTACATTACGATGGAGCGGATGAGATTAGAATGTTACTCCCCAGCTACATACATTTCCAGATGTTAAGACTTAAGAGTAACAATAAATCGCCGCGTGTGGTGGAATGCCCCCCCCCCCCTTTACTCAGTATTCCACGTGATGAGTGGCACTTCGATACTGAATACTGGTTCACCAAATGCTCTCACGCTGAAACGGAACTGGATGTCGATGTCCAACAGGTTGAAACATATTTAGTTCAGGCCAGTTGCTTGTTCCTCATCTCTTATTAACATCTAACGAATCTTGGGGTACACTTCTCGCTTTACATAATTGTCGTCATTCTATTGACAAACATTCTGGACCTCTTATTTCCAAAGAATTGCGCGCGTCTTGATAAAACATGTAAATCCACGACTTCGGCAATTTACTTGAGAAAATTCAGAAAAATCAACTATTTCCAAAACCATTCCAGAAGCTCGCGCTCTTTCTGGACCAAGATGGTTTTCTGAGAGTGGACGGACGAATTAGAAATTCTAATTTACCATTTTTGGTAAAACATCCTTTACTACCTGCTTCTAAATAGAATTAAAAATCAGAATGCCAGCAACCTGCTGCAGTTCTGAGAAAAGTGCTTGTAAACTTGTACAATAACGATTTGCCACTTGGGACACCCCTGGAGTCTGCTTGTAACCCGTGCAAACGCTCGAACCTATTTAGTTCAAACTTTGGACAGTTGATATGCCACATGTAATAATCCTATTGAAAATGTATGTATGTATGAGGGCAATTAGGACAGGAAGCGAGTGGGCGAGAGCCGAGAGACTATTTAGAGGAATTTGAGCATCTGAGAGTATGTGTTGTGTAGAGTCAGCTATAGATGGAATAGTAAAAATTTGCGTGTCATACAATTTCATAGCAAAAACAAAAAATTTGCTGTGGCTAGCACAGATACCACCAATACGGGGCAATAGTTTCGCCCGAGTTTAGCCATAATCTGAAAAATAATCAAAGTCCTCGTGTGAGATCGAAGGGACTTCAGCGCATTTTTGTCTCGCAGATCAGTATTCTATTAGTCAGTTTTGACTCCACCATCAAATAAGTTCTTGTTGAAGCCTACCACATTCTCTTTGTCGGTGCCCTCTTCCTACGCTTCGTTCACCAGCTATTCGCATTTGAAGTTTTGACTCCACCATTAGTAAGATGTCACCGCGATACCTTTTGGGTGCCCGAAGTCGCCTACTCCTTGAAGACGCGCGCCTTGCAAAAGGTGGTTAATTTCGTTCTTAGCAAAACAAACAAAATTCGGCCATGCAGGAGTTGTACGCGTTTACAAGATCTTTCCAACTACATCAATTTGAAAACAGTCGGACCAAAACTGTAGGAGAAGATAGGAAAAAGCTGAAAAATCCCCATGTTAGTACATCACGCTCGAGGATGGCGCCCGGATGTTGCCGACCCCACATCATGTAGCCCCGCCCCTAAAGTTGTTAATTACATGACCCCAGGTAGGTACACACTGCTCGTCTTTCTACAAGTGATCTTCTACTGGCCCACATTTGCCGCCAGCCAGCGAGCCATCAGTCAAAGTGAGATTAAAAGCTACCTTTTTACAAATAAATTTGCGCTAAAAACGTCAAAAATTGACAGTTTTCTGTTACTTTGGCACATATGTGCATGCGCGATTCTGTCCAATAGCTTTTTAGATCTTCCTCTTATATGTCCAATAATATCTGTAGGTACCTATCTACCAAATTTAGTTCCAATCGGTTCAGCCGTTTAGCCGGAAATGAAAGTACAGACAGGTAGACGGGCCGACATAATAGAGATTTTGTTTGATTCGGATTCTTTAATGCACGGGATGGATTTGACCGAAATATTATATACCTGCAGAATTTTGTTCGCAGTCCATAGGATCCTGTGTGGTGATTGCAGCATAAAGCACCACACACATTAGATAGTGTAACAAGCCTTAATCCAACAACTTACTTGCAATGTAAAGAAGACAGCACCAATTGCAGCGATCTGTCTATTTATTTTCTTTATATGAATCTCAACCACCATGGCACAGCCATAGCGATGCCATATAAGTGAATAATAATTATTTTCCAATTCATCGCGGCAGTTTCGTACGCCGCAGCAGTACACAAAGTTAAAACTTGGCCAATCGTTCTCCAAATAATCATAGGGATTATTAATGCCGCAACACTGAAACTTCACACAAATTTTTAATTGTAAGCGGTTCATATAACAAGATACGCATAAAAAGCAGCTAAACACTCATGTGAAGTTGGGGTAACGATTTTGCATCCTGGAGTCAAAACTTTTACATGTAATTATTTACCTTCGGTATAGCAAACTGAGTAATCCAGTATCGAGACTCAAACTTCACGAATCATAGTGCAAAATAAAAGAAATAAATTAAAAACATTTATTATTTACAATAAATTCGAAGATACATGATAGGCGGACTAATAGAATCTGCTGGTATAATAAATTATTTTGAAATCAATAAATAATTACTTATTACAATAACACAAAGTTTACCTGAGTTAAGTACTTACTAAGTCTTCTATTTGATGAAATTTGGTTATGTCGCTAGCGCTGGTGCTTGTAACTTGACTCTCCATTAAGGATCTCGTATTATTACCCAATTCGGAATCAATATTTAGAAAGGCAATCACAGATATACTCAATTCCAAAATCATCAAACAGGAAAGTGCAACTATAAACTGAAAATTGTAAAATAAAACAAGTTGTAAATCAGCATATGCATGATTAAAGCACATTTTTGGTAATGCAGGTCAGTATTTTATTAGCGAAGTTTAAAATTATCGATCTCACGAGTAATTTTGGCTGCGTTAAATAATCAATTTTATTTAATTTCAATTGAGGGTACGTCTCGAGGTAAGTCTTCATTTTGTAAAACAAATCACAAAGTAAATAATAAGTTTTTATACTGGTAGCGCTATCTAACGATACAATTATAGCACCTCCGAAACCCATATCGAAATTATTTTCTTCAATTATCGATCTCACAAGTAATCTAAAGCAAAATAGACTAGTGCCTGCACATCTACACTATAGCAGAAAGCTTTTAGTGAAAATTTGAAGTCTCTAGCTATTGTAGTTGTGGAGATCTAACGCGGACAGCCGGCCTGCCAGCCATAACGAATATAATAGCGTATTTTTTAGTATTTTTTTCAAAAATGCGCTAAAAACAAGCGTTTTTAATTGATATTACATACACATCAGAAAAGATTTGTGTTATTAAACGGCAGAGCAAAGCGATGCAAGCTTTATAGGGGAGTCGATGGTGTCCGTCTGTCCGTGAACACGTCAAACGCTTGGACCGATTGGGTTCAAACTTTGCACAGTTCACCTATATGTCACAAGTAACAAGCCTATTGAAAATGGATCAAATCCAATGACCCCGTAGGGTGACACCGAGGTGCTCTGCCGCTTTTTTAAACGCTCTTTATGGGTTTATTCCCATTCAAATTCAAATGCCCTCCATTACCGCTGTCATTCTCAGCACCCCCCATTTACTAACTCAAACAATTTTGCACTTCGGTTAACTATATTAAAAACCAACCAACATTTGAAGCACCCCCCCCCCCCGGCGTTAGTTATAATGAGATTGAATGAAAAATCAGAAGTTACAACACAGAAGTGAATGATAACATCAAACACTGTCTGATAGAACACTAAGAGGGAATATGTATAGGTACACAAATTTACACTTACCGCTACAAAAAATCCTTTATGTGCAGTTCTTGCACAGTAACAGCCCAAAATCGAAAATACAAATCCTAAACTTCCAAGAATAAGTAAGAGTGTTGGAAAAGTAATGAACAGATCTTCAATATACAAAGACACAGATAGCAATTTCTCTTCGTATATGATGGCGAGCGCTATTAACGCAATACTTAGTATCTAAACAAAAGTATTCATCGTATACTGCTTCATTCATAGCACAAATCTTACCGCAAAAATAAAATTGAAGGCTGCAAGAAGTACTCGAAGGTAATTTTCGCCAAACATTGTTTTGAAATTACATACTTATCACGTACAGCAGAAATTTTGGTGATGTTTGGAACGGCATGAGCATGAAAGTGGAAACATTCTGCTTGATTAGATAAAGCGGATTACCTACATTAACCGTATGAGTAAGTATCCCTGTACATTTCACTTACATTGCGAGATAAGTAGCATTTTATCATAGATAAACATTTATGATCATAACGTTATCTATATTTTTTAATGCAACACTTGAGGAACATATGTCAGGTAAAATTGAAATAGGTACAAGGCCTATATTAGCTTGCCATGGATAACTGTTCAACAACCTGCAGATAATTCTATTTCATGGTTCCACCAGAGCTTTCAAAATCTGCGCAAACTAATTTTGACGGAGATTTGTGGTATACAGAAAATGTACATATCTACCCGAACTACACGTCCCCTAGACCATTCATACAGTTATTTATCACCCCTGTGACTGTGTCTGCATGGAGGAAGTTCCAGTTTACAAACAACAAGTCCGTACATACACCCAGCAAACTATTCAATAACCTCCACAAATTTGAATGAATAACCAAATATAAAAATTCAACTTGGGCCAAAACCATGTAATCAAAACAAACATAGGTATTGAGCAGACATTTACACGAGAAATGATAGCGATTTCAGACAATAAAGGTTAATTCCAGATATGTATAGGGGTTGCAGTTAAACCTTCAAACTGTTTCAATGGAAAATCAAGCCTAGAACAGACAAAATTTAAAGAAAAGTAACTATCACACTTTCAAAATTCCGTTTGCTTTATAAAAGACATTATTTACCAAAGTAGTATATTTTTTTATGTACACACTGTGTCCGAGGTAAGGAGGGCCACTATGGGCATTCTAGAAATGGTAAGAGATACAAATTTGGATAAATAATATATACAAAATGTAGTTTTATTGATGAATTTTTTAATCCAACCAATGGGATACTATCACTTACATTCAATACAACATACTCAATCAATTAAGCAAAATAACCCAAATCTTGTGTTTGGGATCCGCTTCTTAACAAGAAATACAATACAAGATCAGTTTCATGCAAGTCATTCTCTCGGGTCGATTCATTTAGGAATATTAAAATTACTGTAAACAAATGTATGATGCAAATTCCTAAAAATAACCGACCACTACTTTATACAAACCAAAAAAAGTTTAAAGAACAGTTATTAACGTGGGTAATATTCTCTTTTGGTAATAATTGAGCTTATCTCTCCTAGAAAAATGCAACTTCCCTTCGAACTATGGAAAGAGATCGCTTCGATGGTACAGTAGTATTTTTCCACCACCCTCGTAAAGTTTTCGTCATCAATGCCAGGTGCGGTGGAAGAAAAGTTCGTATGAATTGCGAATCCAAACAAACTGGTTTCAATTTTGCGTAGGCAAGTAATATTTGAAATTTTGATTATCCACAGGAATAATAAGCCAATGTTCCGCTGTGTTGATATTAATTTTTCCCAATTTATTAACTGGGCCTTGTTGTAGGTAAAGTGCACCGATTAATTTTCTTTAAATCCCCTCCCGTATTCCGATGTATACAACATTTGCGTTATCCAATGCCGTCACTCAACTTTAAGGAACTTTCTTTTAACCAACCGGTACTGTTAGAGATTCGAAAATAGGTTATTTCCCAGCAAACGGACTTAGGTGTAAAAAACGGTTTTAAAGCGCTCTGATAGGATAAATTCACTATTGGTAGTATGGTAGGTATATGTTTTTGCGTAGACGAATTTTATACCGACGTTTAAAATGCGATTTTTATTCATATACATACATAAATCATAGTGTTCACGTTTTATACATATAATAAGAAACGCATAATATTTCTACAAGAATGTAGCAATGCAATAAACAAAATTAAATATTATTAATAGAATATTCATTCTATAATTTAGATCAATTCTTCTGATGCACGGGCACCACTTAGAACTGATGTGTTGTCCTATTTATATATTCGAATTTTCTTTTTCTGTCAGTTTATTTTGTATAATTATTTGTTCTGTGACTAATGTTTTTTACATGTTATTTGTAAACTTTGACAATGTCTAAATCATTATACTCTGATCCTCTACGATAAATAAATAATAATAATAATAATATCCGCCGGACAGTTAAGCATATTATATAGTTTTAGTCTACAATAAACGCTTTTTATACGGAACTGTGTTGCGAGGGTTGTCTATCACAATGAGTTTGTTTGATTCCGTTTTTTATTTGAAAAGGGGTTCTCCGACTCAAAAATGATCCTTCGTGTGTATTTTATTACCAAGTAAGTAAGAGACATTTCTACGAGTCAGGCTAAAAATTTCTCCGAAACGGACCTTCCTTTTTCACTGCATTGACCTCGACTGGCGTGCTCTAACAACCAATAGATAACCCACCCGCATTTTGGATTGTTCAACCGTCTCAAATAGAATGAACGCAACTTTTAGGTCCGAAGAGATCGTGGTAATCGTGATCGCGTTCCCCAATACGAGTCTTGTTATCGCCTGACAATCTTTTGTTAACGTGTGCTATGAAGCGGTATATGTGTAAATTTTGGAACTGGTGGATGGAAGGCTAAAAACCGACAATTAGCAGCTTTAGTATGGGTTTCAGAAGACACGGTTTTCCGAATTTTCCACAAGTACCTTGGGATGACAAAGGTTGATCCAAAATGGGTTCCGCGAATGCATTCGCCAGGTTAACTTCTGATCTTGCACACGCACCATGACGTTCTTACATGAACAGTAGTAGGTACATTTTTCAGTCGTTTATTTTAATAAAAACAGTATAAATAGATAATGTAGAAATATAGGTACAATTCTTACATAACACTAAACTAAAAACCATATATCTCTAATGACATCATACAATATTAAAATGAATAGTTGTCAAAATCTCGATGTAAAAACGGTTTACATAAATATCACAATGTCTTAAAAGACAAATAAAAATAATGAATTTGTGACTGTTCATCTTTGCAGATTTGAACTCTGTTACAGTCTTACTTGAATGCACCCAAGATAACCTTGGCTGCTTATTAAGTACAATATGCTACTTTTGTCAAAACTGTGGCACATCAAGAGGGGAGGAAAGGCACAGCCGAAAGTTACTTAATAATAAAAATATAAAACACTCATAAATGCCTGCTGTCATGCGGGAAGCCCGCCGGTTTCCTCCCCAAAAGACCCCGACTGTGTCACATTAATACCCATACTTTATTTAGTCATTCGGCTAGCCTCCCCAGGAGCTCTTCTTTTCTCGCTAATTTCAGCTTTAGTCTGCTGCTTAATAGCTTTTCGCAAATAACAAAAGCACACTATACCTAGCATCTGCAACACAATTTTAATTACTATTTCGGCCTAAAAACAAAATTCTATACTACCATAAACAACGCTGATCCGAAGCTTATAAATGTAATGTCCAGTAGTAGCTTTTTGACACTTTGAATTGTAAGGTCTTTGCAACCGTGTTGAAATAAGCGCGTACATGGATCGGTTTCGCAACACGCTGTTGGAATAAATCCGCTCGAGGGATTAAGTATTTTATAGTCATTTGGATGATCTATTCCGCAACACTGCAACTAAAATACATAATCTACACACGAAAGTATATACAATCAGATAAATAAGCAAGGCATATATTATATTACCTAATAATAACATTATTAAAAATAAAAATAAAACAAGTATAAATTGCGCACAACTCTTGTGCAGATAAAGCGCACTTTTTTTACCGAAATAGCTTTTGTTTTGACATCACCAATGGATATATTTCTTGCAGACGTCTCAATCGCCCTTTGTGAGTACCCTCTTCCGACAATCCATTCTTGAGGTATAAGGGAATATATCCGACCACGATAAGAGGTCGAGGAGAAGGGCTATGGTTGGTAGAAATTAATTCCTTTCGTTGCGACCTTTTATTAGAGTACCATGAAGGATTCTTAAAAATTCTTAAAAAATGCGCTAAAAAAAATGAGAAATATGTGGATATACGAAATGTCTTCCGTAAGTTCACAAACTTAAAGTGTAATTCTTGCAATGTAGGGTACCTAATCAGTTTTGGTTTCCCTTCCATTTAAATATTGCAGGTCAATAGCTTTAAGTGCATGTGGCATGATTCGTTTTCGCGAAATCCAGGCGTCCTGAATTGAATTGTTACCACAACTCACCAATGTAAATGGAGGGTGACCCAGAACTTACCACCTATACCACGTACTTCTTATTTATTTGCCGGTTACATATTGCAAAACAACAATAACGATAGGTTCGCGCGGTTTTATCATGACATCGAAAGTGATATCTACCACGAAAGTGGTTTTTGATGTCATTATTTTAAATCGAAACCACGAGCCGTGCGTTTTTCAAAACACGTGACCCACAAACACACAAAAAAGTCTTTGAGTAATCACTTGTTCAAGGTAACACGGTAATATTTAGTTATTGCCAATTGAGACAATGGCTTTTAACTTTGCCATCGTTACATAAGAAATATTTTGCTCAAATGATAATATCATTTGAACATTATCTACTATACGAGTACAAGAATTATTCAAAGGAGATAATTATCACATCACGATGTCACGAGAACTACTTTTGACTGATACAAATTTATTTGGAAAATGCTGGAAGAAAATTACTATTCAGAAAAATCTTTTTTGGGGACACACTTCACATTATCACGGAGTGAAATGCAAAAGGCTCAAAGTTACGACCGTTCTCGTGTTCTGATCCAAACGGAATATGAATGCTTTTTTTGGTGCAAAAAGTCGTTATTAACGCACACCTCAAATTAAAGCATACGCAACAGACGGACAGGTATCTACTTTCCTATCGAAAAAAGTAAGGTAGTAAGATTGCAAAATGTGCAGGACACATGGAAAGTTTTTGCCCTTTGTATATAAACAGATATAAACATACAAAGATGGATATGAAGAAACTTTAATAGAACACATATGGCGCACATTTTTCAACTCATTATGAGGATTAAAATCTTAAGTAACACATCCTCCTTATACAAATAACTGATTTAAAGTACAAAAGTATGACGTGGCATATACGACGATATCATATTGTTCTACGATTTAAAGACATAAGGGTTGGTTAAAGAACCCGTTTCAGGTAAAATCTTTTCAGCCACATTTGACTTCAGAATCAACTAAAAATTAACTCGTCTATGTTACGCTAGGTATACGCATTGAATTTATAAGTATCATAAATTCAATGGTAGGTTCCAGTTTTTATTTCTTGTTTAATCTATGCTAAATGTGATGTCATCACTGTCGCCCAAATGATTTTTGAGGTGTTCGAAGATATCGCCATGAACACCGGAAGCGACTAAACAAAAATGGCGACCAAAGCGAAGGGTCTAAGCATACCTAAGTTGTACCTGAAGCAGGGTGCAGAGCCGTAGCTAGCGCAGGGCACCGCAGTTCTGCCTGGAAGATTTCCTACCCTTCCTAGCGATTTTAAGAAAAATATCCATGCTCTTAAAAATTGCTGCAACAAATGAAAATAGGAAGAAGCGCAACGTGTGGTCCGTGATTGGTGAAAAAACTGCTAAAAAAATACCAGACACACAAAATCGGATTGTTCAAATTTTCGCCGAAAGGAATCTTGAAAACATAATGGAAGAAATTAAATCCGCGGATATTCAACTATTATACCTATCCCAAGTGCACGCCAAATACCGAAATACTCAGATCTGGTGTTTGGTGTGCACGAGGGATATACGGGATGACTATTGCCCGACGAAAAGTTCACATTTATTTTCTTATTCCTCGTTGTCATCTTGTTTTGTGATCTTATTATTGGCACTGCTTCTTGTTATTGCAATACCTAAACGTAGTAGGCTTGTATCTAGACCAAAGACTATCCTCCTCGGATAGTCTTTATCCAGTTTTTATTTCTTGTTTAATATATGCTAAATGGGATATCCTTCTCGGATAGTCTTTGTCTAGACGTAGAAACGAAAGAATAAAAGTGAGTTATCCGTCAGTTATTGATTGTTGTGAAAAATGAATAAAACACGTTTCGGGAGTGAATCACTTGAAGTTATTGAAGAGAACATTGATAATTTGATGCCTTATAATACAAAAAAAGTGAATAGTTCAACATGGAATCAGTTCGAATCTTTCTGTGCGGAAAAAACTATGTACTTACTGGAACTACTTCAATACAGCAACTCGCTAATATCATGCAAGATTTTGGATACAATATGAAGAAGATTGACGGTTCAGATTACGAAGAGGGAGTAATTAAAACTCATTGGAATAGAATCGCTAAAATTTTGCAACATAAGTACAACTATGATCAAGAATATAATGTTTGTTTCGATCCTTTCAAGGACATGGTTTTTCAAAAAGCGTGAAACCGAAAATAGGTATGGGTTCATTTACAAATTGCCATTTTACAAAATGTAATTTTCGTTAATAAAATTTTGAATTATTTATTTAAGTTTCATTTTTGGGTATTTACACATAAGCAATACCCGATACCATTTTTATCAACCAAGTGAAGGTTATGATTATAACAATGAACGTACGGAATATTACGATTCAATGCTTTTTAGGAGGGATCCATCTAAATCCTTTTTCTTCAAAACATTGAGAGTTAATTCTGTTAATGTTTTCGCGTCCAACTTGTCGGTTGTGTATGTATTGCCAAGGGAGGTTCATCTACTTTTTCACTTTTAACATAGCGGATTTCTATAAAAACAATTTCTCTATTATTTTGATTTGCCGTCTGTGAGAAGAGAATACCACGGACTATTGCCCTCCAGAAAATTTCAACCAATCATATTAATGAATATTACAGAAATCACCTGGCAACGGACGAATATCCTCGAGTATTCATGCACTTATGCAATAGGTACCCGCGGATATTCCAATGATTAAACATTTTTAACCAAAGCGTGCTGCTTCATTCCTTTTTTAAAGATGGAAAACTCTCATCGTCCGTATGCCTACCACCGCAAGAGCAATGTTTTCGATGAAGCGGCATTCGTCGAATAACAATCGACAAGATGTCCGCCGTACAATCGCAAATAATGAGCGTGTCTGTTAAGAAGCAGCATGCCATTTCTGTGGAACCGTGAGCTGTTGTTTAACCAGCCAGAAATCTACGCTGTCGTTACCACAAAAAATCAACCGACATCGCCTATCGCCTTCATTTGTTTATTGAACCTACGTCGAAACAGCAAGTAACTCATATTCCATTCGTAATTATTCCAGTTTCTAGTAGATGCACGACGTCGATCACCAAATGAAGATTTAGAATCAATATTATTTGTATTTTTATCAATAAATTATTATTTATTATTATTAGGGTCGATATTCCTTCAACATTTCTATTGTATTAGCACAGCAAGCATTACATATGTATACAGTCCCATATTGTAACAAAAAATATCGAAGCTTGGTCTGCACCCAGCAGAATGATGTAAAGATTTGCTATTACAGATGTAACCAAAGCCCAACCCTTTTGAGATATAGACGTGAAAATCAGAACGCTTCCATGGTTTTTGAGTGGGAGTGCGACTGCCACCTTGAATTTTTTTAATGTCCCAACAAGGTCAATATTGGAGAAAAAAATGATAAAATGACGTTAGTTTGTTCACATCAGTCCATTGCTCCGAAATTTTACCCCCAGTATTGATATATGCGTCCCTTAAATCGAAGAAAACACAAACTTCGTTTCTTCGTTTTTATAGAAAATTTAATAAGCTGCCATAATATGATGTAATAATATATATTATACAGGTTGTTCCATATAAAAAAGTTGTTATTACCTAAAAAATGCGGTGTTTTTGTTTTTTTTTAAATCGCAGATTTTTATTCCGTAGCGAAAAATACACAATTTTGGTAATTTAACTGTCATTCTAACTCTACAACTAAGAAAGTTAGCAATAGTTCCAACTTAATTTGAAACAGATTAATCATGATTAATTAATATTAAAAAATCAAGTGAAAATAAACAAAAAGACAACGAACGGAGTTTTCTGGTGGTTACCCATCCAAATACTAACCAGGAGCAACGTTGCTTGATTTTAGACAATACATGAATTATTAGCGCTGTTTGGGTAATTAGGAAGCTCGAGTCTACTATATCATTTATCAACAATTCTTTGATTTCGTAACGAATTCCGTGATTTTTTAGTAGGTACTGCAAAGACTGCCGTTAACTCCTGACGATTTTCATCTAGGTACTTCTCATGACTGTCGATAGACTTCCAACAAAATGAACCGGGGAAACCTACCTCAGATTGTGTGTCTTTGATCTTAATAAAAACCCAATCAAATGTGGTTCTACATCAAACTGTATCAGACAAAATTATAATTAAAACCACAATGCGAAAGAATAAACATGCTATTGGGAGCAAGAGTACTATGTGTACAACTAAATTTGATTTAGGTACTAATCACAGAACAAATACATTTAGGAAAAATATCAAGTAATATTGCACGAAATTAGGCTACATCACTTCTGTAAACATTAATCTTAATTATTCATCAAACAGTAAGTAAATGCGTTTTATCTTCTATCGTAGACATTCAAACACAACTTCAAAACTTCTGCCTGGCGTATGGAAGTAGAATATGTACCCAATTATCCAAAGAAAAATCTGAATTAGAAAGTTATTTTCTTCAAAATTATGAACGTGATAACGATGATCGTTTTTAGTTAGGTAAATGGTCACTTCGTATAGTAATTACATGCAATAAGGAGAGTCAACACACATTGCAAAACAGAAATTCATCGCAGTGGTTTGTCTCAAAAAATTCGGCTCGTTGCCAATATTGGAAGGTTAAAACAGGAACGAGTATTTTCATCTGTATGTACCTATTGATTCTGCAAAACCATTTAATTTAAAAGAAGGAAAAAACTAGAAACAGAATTATTGTGAAATCGTATTTTTTTTGTTTAAGCATTGAATTGAAGATTTATTATTCAATGGTTTAAGTACTAAAAGTCATCCATTTGGAATTAGTGTGTAATTTTACTAATTTAACATCGTCAGCATGTTTGAATGCGTTAAAACGATGTACTTCGCTAATGTAATCATGTCTGACAATGCACCAAACCGCATTAGAGCTGTTAAACAATTAAAAGAATCATATTCACATACGTATACATTTTCAAAATTATATCCCACGAAACAAATTTACACGGGCAAGACCTCATTTTGGAAGTAGCTGTTATAAAAGTGCTATACTACTTGACTACTACAGTGTAATGTTAGCATTGTTTGCAAAATAAAGAGCATTATTATTATTATTATTATTACTTCGAACGAATAGGTTTTAGTGATGTAGACATTATTAACGAGCTCCTAGTGAATTCATGAATTTGAACTTTCTGTCTGTCCGTCCGTCTGTAGACAAGATAACTCCCGAATTTTGTTTATGATACCCAAGGAAGAACCGATTAAATGTTCAGTGACCCAGGAGTTGGTTTGCTACATTTATTACAAGTTTATTTTTAGTTTCATTTTGCCATTGTGCTCGTTTAGTTTATTTACACACTTTTTAATTCATCATAATTGTTGCAATTTCATATTAGGTATGTTATTATATTGTTAAATTTTTATAGGTAGGTATTTCATGTTATCATTTACAAGTTAACGCTAATTTTCATTGAAACTTGAAAGCCATTCTTTCAAAGGCGGCGACGTAGAGCCTTAATTACCCGATTCGCAATCATTTACTAAATAATATTAAGGTAGATGCGAAACTTTTATCTCCGAATAGAAATGGGTATAATAATGGAAATGCGCTTCTTGCAAACCGCTTAGAAGTAATCACTCTTCCATGTCTTGAAATTATAGACGTATATGCTGCAACGTAACTGAAAAAGTGTTTCTGAAAATGAGGTTTATTTGTTTTTATTCCTTGTCTATTGAAAGTTATCAACTCGGTTATCAATATCCCGGTCACATACTTGATAAGAATAAAGCTTCCCTTAGTGCCACTATCAGCAAAGAATAAACATTAATTGGTGTACAATATACCTAATACTACTACTGGGATATATTTTTCACACAGAGCCATTGCTCCTCATAACTCATAAGTACCATTGTTTAAATACTTTATAGTTAAACAATCTTATGGGAATAAGTATTACCTTAGTGTATTCTATTCTTTACACTATGGTATTACCTACTTGAACGAAATACGAAGTTCTGGTCTAGAAAGTCTAGTTGGCGATACGTACTCTTAGTTAAATTTATCTATAAGATAATGTTTGATTTACCTAGTATTTATAAGCTAAAATGTAAGGAAGATTTCGTATCTATAATAATATACTATACATATATAGTATATGTTGTCTGTGCTATAAGTAAGTACCTACTTGAAATATAAAAAAAGACAAAAAAGTGACAGCGGTGGGATTCGAACCCACGCCCTTTCGGACTGGTGCCTAAAACCAGCGCCTTAGACCGCTCGGCCACGCTGCCTTGATGCAAAACTCACTCATTTACCCAGCTCACAACTTACCTCCTGTTGCAAAGATTCCCAACTTGATTTGTGATAATTGTCACTTATGAAACTGTTAAAAGAATCCGTTATCATAACTGTTGACGTTACAGCAGCTTTTCTATTTAAAATAATTGACCATATTCCAATGGCAATCTCGCAAATCATATGCCCCGCCAAACCCATTTGAAACTACAAAAGAAAGTGAATAAAAGGCGAAAAAAGTTTTAACCTACTAACCCAAAGAATATGTTTTAAATTGTCTTTCGTCGCGCCGTTATATCCAAATCGGGAAATAACGCAGTGCGTGATGGCAAGTAACGTTAATAAGACGAAAGGTCCTACGCATTCTGCGGGTGCAAATTTGAATGTGTGCGTAAAGGAGAATAATTTGTAACTTAAATAAATGCAGCCGCCAAACATTAATATACCAGATGTCTGAAATACAAGGAATTCGAATTGTAGATCGGTGGAAAGTTACTCACAAATAGCAGCCCCACGTAAAAAAAGCACAATACTGATTTACACTGTTTTGATACTGCCATAATATAAAACTAAACTAACAGTAGGTAAATAAACGGTTGCACACCACCTGTACCTGTCGAGGCAGTAGTACGTTCACCTGAGAGCGGAAACAAAAACCTTCAAAGTTTTAAGTTTCTCATTGTGTGATGGATTAGGTACACCGCGTTGCGTGAACCGCTCTTTCTAGAGTGAACGGTATTACTAAGATAACCAATTTGCATACATCAATTAACACTCGAGTTTATTTTTGATTAGCAGTTAAATAGGCATATTTTTATCCGCGCCTGATAATATGCAACCTACGACGCTTATGTGTTACGGCAAAGATATATCTTTGGTTACGGTGGAGCAGGATACGTGGCAATTGCGCACGCTTCCAGTAAACAGGCCACGCCCATCTTCAAGTGTAGTGATTCACGTCTCTCGCAGATGTAACCTTAGATCATAGCTTTAAACCACCAAGTTGTAATTATGTACTGTGTCCGTTTTTCGGCATTTTTGCGATTTCATGCTAGTTTTTTTACAAACACAAATATAGTAGTTTCTCATCATTAGGTACTTCATTTCAATGTATACTTTATTTAAAATTAAGTACGATGTCTAGGTGAGTATGTTTCTGAACCTTCCAAATGTCGATTGTCTTAAATACCCACGGTAAATGAGCCCATTTATTATTGACGGAAACAGACTTTAGAATTAAATCATTAATCATACTCTCTCGGGAATGTCGTACCTATATAAAAAGTTTCTTATGCACAGTAGGTTTCTGATTATGTCCACTATATGTTCTTCAGAATAGGTACCATACCATACTAGGTCATATATGAATCCATTGATCGACTTGTATCTTGTAATTGAACATAGGAGATGTGTATGTTCAGAGTTTAAATTTACGTACTATATTTGGTATGAACAGTATAAGTATTTAGTTCTGTAGTTAAATTTGGTTCAAGTAGTTGTAAACATATGTAAAGTGATATCCAAATTATTTAAAAAAATCAAAGAATTAAAGGGGTGGCTGCAACAAGGATATACTTATATAATTAGTTAAGCGCAAGTAAGCACACATAAAAAAATCCAAAAATAATTAAACAGTAACTGTAGGAGCCAATGGTATAAAAGGATAAGGCCTTGTTTTTATATTTGAGCCCATCATTTACCTATCCTTGGGTATACCAAAGACAAAGATTGACTGTGTGGCTCAGTGGTAGAGCGTTGGGCTACATAGCCGGGAGGTTCGAACCTTTGCTGAGGCTGAGGTGAATTTTTTATCTGTCGAAGAAATGGGAATTTCCTTTCAGTTCAGTTTCGAACATTCTGCCGGCTACTCCGAATTAGGTTTCCCTGTAGTTTTCCTAATTCGTAAGGTAAATAATGGAGTAGTATAGAACAACTTAAGACCTTCTGCAGAGGCACCTCTAAAAAACATTATGCGAGTCTTAAGTATGTTCCTGGTTCGACCATTGCAAATGCAGATGCACTAAGCAGATTGCCAGTGATCGACAATTCAACTCCAATAAATGAAGAGATTCCACAAGTGCTCATGGTCGAGACAAGTCCTGAAATTACAGTCAACGCTGAAAAAATCGCCATATTGACACAAAAGGATCCAGTGCTATCTAAAATATTGGACTGGGTGGTAAGGGGCTGGCCGAACGAAATCAATATGGACGAAGCAAAACCGTTCTACCATAAGCGGCAGGAATTATCCTCGTACAAGAAATGTCTGTTGTGGGGAAACAGGGTTGTCGTTCCCAGCAGCAGCCAGAGCACATAAGTACTTCACGTTGCACGAAACTCATCCGGGGATTGTACGAATGAAGATGTTGGCGAGGAGTCATGTGTGGTGGCCAAACATGGATGTTGAAATCAAACACGCAGTAAACATTTGTCAGGAAAATCAACGCGCACCACCTAAAGCACCTATTCATCCTTGGGAATGGGCAACCGAGCCGTGGAGCAGGTTACATATTGACTTTGCGGGGCCGTTTCAAGGACATCAACTCCTGATCGTAGTGGACGCCTACTCTAAATGGTTAGAAGTCGAGTTGGTGCCGACAACCTCCTCGTCGGCAGCAATACGAGTGCTACGTAGCTTATTCGCCACTCATGGATTACCCGACGTAATTGTATCAGACAACGGTACGGCATTTACATCGGCAGAATTTGCAGAGTTTACAAAGAAGAACGGGATTAGGCACACAACATCGGCGCCATATCATCCGTCTTCAAATGGCCAAGCTGAAAGGCTAGTGCAAGAAGCCAAAAAGATGTTAAGCAAATTGTCGCAAGGGGATTGGCGTACCAAACTGGCACGAATGCTGTTAAGCCAGCATACAACGCCGTCAACAGTAACCGGCGTCAGTCCAGCAGAACTGCTTTTCAAGAGAAAATTAAGAACCTGTTTAGATCGAATCCATCCTGATTTCGTGAGGGACATGAAGCTGAAGCAGGAAACACTTATGGAACAGTCAAAACCACCTCGGGAATTTAAAGATGGCGATCCAGTTTCAGTGAGGAATTTTGGTGATGGTCCCAAATGGGTTCCAGCGCAAATCAATAAACGTACTGATCCATTATCATACAAGGCAACCCTAGATGACGGAATCGTAATCCGAAGACACACCGATCAAATCATTTCCAGAAGACCACTGCAGGGCCATCAAGCACCACCGTCAGATGTGCAGGAAGCCAGCATGAGCACTCGCCCAAGCAGAGACAGAAGAATGCCTTTGCATTTACGAGATTTTGTTTTAACTGGGGGGAAGGAATGTGATGTATGCAAGCCTGGGGAGGTCAAGGTTGGCACGCCTGCAACGGTGGGCTAGGTCGCATGTCGTTGTAAGCACGTTTCATTTTATAAATCATCTCTGTCAATATAAATATCCAAATAAAGAGTACTTATTAGAGTCACTCTGTAATTGGGCGAAAGCTTGTTTTGAGGGCCCAGAACAAGAGAGGGACAATAAATACATTGTATATTTATATATACAATGCTAAAGGGAAGCATTGTATTAGTATTTTAGATTTTACATTATTAGCAGGTAAGTCAGTTTTTACTGGCGATAGGAGAAGTTCACTGGCAAGCCGTTAGGACATATGTTTTGCGGTAGATTAACTGGAGTCGCTCGTAGTTCTCACGATTATCACTGTGGTAGTTCATTTAACCCAAAAAAACTTAACCATGTTTACACTTGGCTACGGATTTTACAAATATCTGGTTCAAAAAGACGAATTTTGTGTACTCATTTTGGGTTTGGATAATGCGGGTAAGACGGTAAGTCGGACTACATTCGGCGATACCCCTTCGTAATTCCGTACAACCGTACAGACCTTCCTCGAATCGGCCAAGACAAAATTTACGAAGAACTACAAAAGTATGCACCCGAGCAAAATTACGACGACGGTAGGATTAAACATCGGCAAGATCGATGTGAGCGGCATCCGTTTAAACTTCTGGGACCTCGGCGGACAATTAGAATTACAGTCTTTATGGGATAAGGTTTACCGAACGTAGCGATGACTAAAATGTATCCCTTGTATTTTAGTATTACGCAGAATCGCACGCGATAATTTATATAGTCGATTCTTCGGATAGAGGGCGAATACCAGAGTCGAAGGAAACGTTCGGTAATACTGCCGAGGCCATTGTGGTTATTCAAATTTCCCCTTGTAGATAGGATGATAGCGAGCGAAAGTTTACAAGGTATACCGTTGTTGGTGCTGGCAAATAAACAGGATATTCCCGATTGTATGGGCGTACGCGACGTTAAACCAATATTTAATAAAAATGCGCACTTAATCGGCAAGAGAGACTGTATGGTGATGCCAATATCGGCGCTGACAGGGTAATTTAGTGGTTTGTTGCCGAAGAGTTGTGATAGCTTTGATTTGCAGGGATGGTATAAATGAAGGTATTTGTTGGTTGGTCGATTGTATCAAGAGAAATGTGTTTATAAGGCCGCCTCGCAATAATGATGATAATTAAAGACCTATCCACCTGTTGTAGGTGGCGGTGTAAAGATAAGGTGTAGATAAGAGAGTGATAAGGTGAAATTGGTGTTATCTTTGGTATATCATTATTTATATTTCGTACTCCGTTTACAAATAAATTTAATACAGAATTTTCATTTTTCTTTCATCATAAAAATAATGTATCCATACTATGAACATGATTGGAGTGTGCTACCACCGGAGTTAAACAGAAGGTGGGTGGATTTTCCTTAGTCCTGTCCAGTTTGCACTTTAGATTTCAGTTTACATGTGCCTTTTACGCTTTATGGTTATGTTTGACACTCAAAGAGCGGAAAATATCGATAAAAGCATTAAATATTCATAAGATTTGGCGCTTTTACGTATTTAGGGAGTTAATTATTCTCAAAATTTTTTACTTGAAACGTCTACATTTGTGACGTCATGCCATATACCGGCCATATTGCTAATTCTTCATGTCAAACTAGACCTTTGGGATGGTCTAAATAATTGTAAATATTCTTTATTTTACGAAAATTTTTATGTTAATCATTTTTCCGTTACGTAATATTTGGTAAGTTTCAATTTTAGGAAAAATTCCCATCGGGTTTACTAAAAAATCTCCGTGTTTAACATGTGATGCTATTTTGTCAACATTCTTGGGTTTAATTAGGGACAGGTGATTTTCAATTAAAATAGACTCTAAGCACTACCTCAACGGTATCGTAAAACTTAGTCTGGTGTTTCCCTTGGCAGATAAACTACTTTCGCAAGTGTGGTATTGTTCGCTGCTTAACTTTTCAATATGAATGCTTCGGAACATGGGTAATTAGTACTTGTCCAAATCTCTAGGTATATCTAACTGATTTACGTTAAACAGATTTAACCCCGCATTTAATATGGCTACAATTAAACAGGCCATCAATGAAGCCGTTGAACGAGGTACGTTTAACATAAGTGACAAAATTGGATGACCGCCGAGCCTTTTTCAGTGCGAATGCCGACCCCCATGCGCCTGCGAGATTTAATTAGGCAAATACGTGCAGCACGAACGGCAGCAGAAGAACGGAGCGTAGTCAATAAAGAATGTGCGTACATTCGGTCTACATTTCGAGAGGAAGATTCAGTGTGGAGGTAAATTCCGAGTGTTTTATTTCTCGTGTTAGTTGATGTGTTTTGTAGATGTCGCAATATAGCGAAATTGTTGTACATTCATATGCTCGGGTATCCCGCTCACTTTGGACAGCTCGAGTGCTTGAAGTTGATAGCCAGTCCACGATTTACAGATAAACGGATTGGATATTTGGGAGCAATGCTACTGTTAGATGAACGGCAAGACGTTCATCTGTTAATTACGAATTGTTTAAAAAAGTAAGTTGATTGGTGTGTGTGCTGCATTTCCCTATTTGGAAAGAAATTGAGTGGTGGTTAGGAAACGAATTTTGCGAGTCATACACATGGTATTCTTTTGTATGTCTATTTTTCACATGCAATATTTTTTCTAATTTTTGCAACTACATGAGAATGTATTGTCTGGTAAAGACTGAATAAATGCCAAAGGATACCAAAAGACTACCAGAAGAAGACCAAAGAATATCTATGTGGTAAAAGTTAAGAGGGCGAATATTTTAAACAAACAAAAATTTGTTAAAACAAACGACAAACAGCATGACAAATATTTTAATTACAGAAATCAACGTTGCACTGAATTGTGCCATAGTCCCAGGGATCTGAACCTATTAGAAATATAGGTTCTGGTTCTGAGACTATATTAGAAAATATTAGAAAAAGTATTTATTATACAGGGTGTCAATTTTAAAACTTGCAGTCGGCCATATTTTCCAAACTGAAAAAGATTGAAAATCGCGAAAAATCGTTTTGGAGGGATTGAGGGGGAACCAGAATGACGTTATGAGTGGCAACCTCCCACCCCCCTTAACCCGCCAGTCCCCCCCTCTTAAAATCCTAAATGGCAACCCCATACTTGTGATGTTGGAAAGCTACTGAAAAATGCTTTCCAGTGGTACCAATAAAGTCAATATTCATTAAGACAATTTAATAATTAACAAAAGAAAATTAAAATTAAGCCATGCCTATGTTCAAGATTTGGTCGTTAAATTCCAAGAAACGGGATCTGTTATCAATAAAAAAAAGAAAGCAACCAAGATTGCTTAATGAAGCAGCTCAGGTTGAAGTTCTTGGCCAATTTTCCATAAATCCCTGAATGTCAACATTTAGTTTTTTTGTTAATTATTAAATTTTTGTTAAATTGTCTTTAATCAATATTGACTTTATTGGTACCACTGGAAAGCATTTTAGGATTTTTGAAGAGGGGATGGGGGGTTGTCACTCATAACGTCATTCTAGTTCCCCCTCGATACCCCCGAAACGGGTTTTCGCGATTTTTAGTATCTTCTTTAGTTTGGAAAATATGGCCGTCTGCAAGTTTTAAAATTGACACCCCGTATGATTATAAGATGTTATTTGTCAAAATGAAAATCGCATTCTCACAAAATTTGTTAGGTAAATAACCATCAACAATCTATTTTAAGAATGACCGTAGTTAAATTTATCATTACCATTTCTTTTTTAAAGGGAAAGAATTACAGTGGTCCTGGCGTCCCAGACTTTTAAAAGCACTGACACTTAAACTTTTTCAGAAAATGTATTTTTAGATGAAAAACTAGCATGGAAATTTTTTTAATCAAAATGAAAACGTTATGTTATATTGTAATAATAATATGACCTTATTACTTGTTTAAGAAGTAAATGAAACCTACAACAAAAAAAAGAAAGAAGCAAAGCGAAGGCAAAGTTCAGTTTCCCCTAGTAGAGGTCACTGCTCTACCACTACTATTTAACTTTACTGCCTCTGAGAATTTAATTACGTTAGCGAATATTGCTCACTATTGTCATTTGGATAGATTTACGTTTTTCATTCCTCATTACATTCAATTTTTTGTTCTGTACATTTTTAGAACACTCGGCGCGTTTAAATATGAGATAGAAAAAAACTTTAAATACAAAAGATGTGGGGAGTATCATAAATCGCCAGAAAATGTAAAGGAAAAAAACAAATGAATGTCGCAAAGTGAGTAAAAAATGCAAATTTGGTAAATTTTTAAAGGAATGACCTATATATTTTTCAAAAATTGAATAGATCTTTTCCCTATCTGTGTATCATTACACTGTTTTACCAAATTGTAGTTGCCATAGTTATTTATTGTGATATCAAAATTATTTTATTCCATTCCATCTATAAGATGGGTTAGAACAGGAGAAAAAAAGGTAGAAATAGTTCGCATATATTACGAAAATTTTTTTATATATTACAAAATTTATTTTGAGAGATAATTTTTGTTTATTGCTCGATTTATTGTTATCAAGCGCAAATTTGTCGGTAATTAGAGGTGTCTGATGTCGGCCTCCACAGTAATAAAATTTACCAATTGAATTTCTTTTTATATTTTGTTTTTGAGTTTTTGAGACTCGTGAGCCTTTCAAATGTGTTACAAGCGCGGCATATAAGTCAGATGCAAAATTGATTACAGTTAAGTACATAAATAGGAGCGGAAAATAAGAAAAAATGCAGCCTGCGCAGGCGCATATTGGGTTTATACCTATTATATACGATGTGTTTGTCTTTACTAGAAGCGTCTATGGTTAAAAATTCAAAGAACTATCTTCATAAATAAGAAAGTTTGCATCGCGCAGTTTTGATTTGCAATAATATGTTTACCTTTACTACACTGTAGTTGACATTTAAAAAAAATCTTTAGAAGTAAGAAAGTTGACATGGCGTAGTCTGCGCATGCGCAGATTTGGTTTTTTACTATAACTGTTATGTTTGACTTTGCTAGAGGCATGTCACCAAAATTTAAAAAAAAAACATGTTTAAATAAGAAATTGACATTCGCAGTTTGCGCATGCGCACATTAATCGTCAACTTTTTTCTTGGTTCAAGTACCAGCGCTGTAAGCTACCGAATACAAAAAGAACAAACTAAATATATTGAAAGCTGTAGGAGTAGTTAAGGACTCGGGCCGCGGGCGGACCCGCCTTCGTTAAGAAATGGGCCGTTTTTCTTGGGGATTTTTAGAAAATCCATAATTGAAATTTTTAGTTATTGATAAATCGAAACAAATGAAATTGTATGTACCTTTTATTAACTTTTACTGTCATATCAAATTACAAAATAGTAAAAAAAAGTGTAATAATGAATCCTATTACTCTTTTTACCTTGTTCATAAGTACCTACTTTCTCGCACTTCACCTTAAATGTAGTCCCCCATCACACTTTTGTTGTATTTACTCAGATAATGTTGTTCGCAAATCTCATAATATCTTGATGACAACGTTCTGATCGTTCTTCTGAGTACGCCTCCATATAATAATTAATAATAATAATAATCATATTTATTTTTTTTTTACAACAATTTACCTTTTAAACATGCTTTGCAATTACTGCAAGCAACATGCGAAGCCTATAATTTGTCTAGATTCGGAACGGGGCAGTGAAAATAGGCTTCGTAGGCTTCAGAAAGCTTTTCAAAGGCGTTTAAGTAAAATTGTGTATCTCGTACTTTAATAAATGTACCATTACCACATAGGTATATAACGAAATGCATCAGCATGGTATTTACACTTTCTTGACGACATTTTACCCTCGATGAGTCTTCTAGAAAATGTTCAATTGTTGTTTATCACTTCAGTGACATCTGTAGACACTGTGAAAGTCACGACCACTTCTTTTTTGGCAGTAAAATACTCTAGAACTACTTGATATCTCTATTCAGGGTTTGGCAACCTGCGGCTCTTTTGATGTAAAGTCGTGGCTCTCTGCATTTATATAAAAAAAAAGTTCATTTTTTCGAAATTCATGTTAAGGCTGTTTGTGACTGGACTATTTCGTTTTTCATAAATTTCAGGCGTAATTATAGTCCGATTTTTTTGAAATTTTGCACATTTGTGCAGTTAACTGATACTATTTGCGCTGAGATCTCAAAAATTGAATAGTTTTAAAAACAAGCACAAATTTTTGGAAATAATAGACATATCAAAAATCGAAGATCTCAGCGCGTACTATCAATGAAACATAATAGGGTTTTATTAAATGACAAATTTCCATTTTTTTGTAAATAAATCTGTAATTTATGAAAAAAGGTTTAATTTAATTTTGCTACAGACGGTGCTGCCTCTAGCAGTATATTAAATTAGTGTATGTTAACTCCGCCGCTTACTCCCACCACTGACAATGCGAGTTGCGAGCACATTCGGTTAGAATTTTTATTCCTTCACCTTCTTTTTTTTATCATTATTATGGTAATTTTAAAATAAAAAAAATTATATTTACATGACCATTTTAGATATCGCGGGACAATACGTTTTGGGAGAGTAAAATGAAAAGTAAATTATCAAACTTTTATGAAACATGTCTTGTCCCCGAAATTATCGACCCTAGATTTCCTAGGAATTTATCTATAAGGAACCCTGAACGATAATTATTTTAACACTTTTCTTATCCGAAGCGTGGGTAGGCAAAAATTTGTTACGACTTTATATTTATTTATGCATTTTAGTGAGTTTGTCGAGGTGGATAAAATTTCATTTACTTTGCACATTTTAATTGAAACTTCAAATCGCATATACATTTAGCAACGAATTACAAGCAAAAAAGTCAACGCATTGCTTTCCCAATTCCAATATACGTGAAAACCGCGGAGAAGGGTTTCAGTACTATTCGGATACTGTACGGAATAAAAAGGTACGTTCTAATTGACTAGCGCGTATTACATTGGTTCTTGTCTTTCCGCCTTAATTCTGTATTCCCTTTACCGTTGCCCCGCAGGTGCAAGTCGAATGATAGTCACAAACAACCTTAATGAATCTTATTTTATTACGATATTGAAAGTACACATGCAGCACATAATTACCTAATTTGTGACACTTGTTTGTCTTTTTTTATTATCGCAGCCTACTCTGATGTATAAACATGTAATTAATTAATAAGATAAAAAACTTGAATAACCTAAAAATTATGAACTTTAAGCACAGGACACCTCATATAAAAATTGAAGAGGACACAAAATACAATCGAATAGCGAAATAAAATAGTGGTAGTTGAAAATTTGAAAAATAATAGTTATGATACTTTGAACAAATGACATTGAAACAAGTACAAATATTCTGGATGTTCTATTTAAAAAAATCCCTTATTTATTGACACCTTGAAACTGGGACACCCTGTACATTCAAAAATAATTTCTGTAGATCCGCAACCAACTATAGTTCACATTTGTACACAAGATTTTTTAAAAATCTTTTTTACCAGGTATCTAGGAAAGACGGACGCACTGTTGCAGGTCCCTGTATGTGACCAAATACTATAGTATTGATTTGAAAATTTTTAGTGGCTCTTTAAAAACTGGGAAAGTTTGCAAATTGTAACTTTTGCCTCTTCCGTTTCAATAGGTTGCCGACCCCTGCTCTATTTGATAACAAAAAAATGGATTATTATCATAAGTGCCACAAAAGCAAACTTTATATGGAAAATGGATACTTTGCCTTTATTTTGGTGCATAATAATTAGAAAAACCATAAAATAAATTTTAGGACAAAGAAAAAAAATTTTATTTGTAGAGTGGTGTAATCTGGAAACAAGAATGCAACCACAATGAGTAGTAAAAAATTACCTTGAAACTATAATTGATGTTACAATAAATTTACTTATACAATATTACAAATTATTATAGATGCACTATTTATAGCAAGGTTGTACAGCATAGTATAATTAATTTTAATCACATATAGGCATAGCTTCACGGAAAACGCTATTTGTAAAGGTGTGTTATCAGCTAATTTGATGACTAATCCCACCTTGGAGTTATAAACTTGCAAAAACGTTTGTATGCAAATGATTAAAATGTAAAGACAGAGGTAAAGAATAAGTACATTAATTTTGCAATTATTTTAGAGGATGTTTTAATGATGGAATATATTACGTTTAGATATTTCATAAGTGCGTAAAAAATGTATTAATTTTTTTTTAATATTTAATTCGTGTGTGGGCAGTACAGAAACAGCTTACAATCGTCATACAAATTACTCTAGTAATGGTTAGGAATTGTACTTTTCCAATTTAAAAGAAACTAGTTTTGAATTAGTTTTTTTAAATCCACCTCTACATCAATTTTTGCCTAGATCAGCATTTGTTTTGTACCCCCTATTCCATATTGCGCAATGATAGCATTTTTTCAGAAGCTGATAATCACTGCATCTTCAGGTGCATTATTTGTTCTGGTAGGGTCCAAAATACTAATATGATAGGTATCAAAGTCCCACAAGGGGTAAATCTCCCCTATTAACCAAATAAACACCGAATAATCGTAAAATGAGAAAATGGCCTAATAAGCTTTTTGCTTTCAGTGATCTTAATTCAACCACACAGTTTGTCGTCGGCTTAGCTCTGTGCACTCTCGGCGCTATAGCTTCGCCGGAAATGGCCCGAGATTTGGCCGCCGAAGTGGAAAGGCTCATGAAATCGCCTAACGCTTACATACGTAAGAAAGCGGGACTTTGCGCGTTTAGAATAATTCGAAGAGTGCCTGATCTAATGGAAATATTCCTACCGGCGACTAGGAGTATGCTATCGGAAAAAAATCACGGTAAGTGCGTCGCGCTTTTGTAGCGTTTGCAGATTGTAGTAGTATCATTTTAGGGGTTCTAATTACGGGAGTAACGCTTATCACGGAAATGTGCGAGAATAGTATCGATACATTAAATCATTTCAAGAAGGTTAGTGTAAGTGATAAGCTATTTTAAGGCTTGCATTTTTTTTGAGATCGATTTTTGGATAGTTTTTTAAACATGCGCCAATTGCACTTCTTGGGCTTATAAATAGTTTATAAAAGAAGATTTGATAAATTGTGTGACTAACTTAGTATTTCGTTTAGGACTGTTCTCAATGTGAGGTATGCTATTTGTATGTCTGCTACGCGAGATGTCTAAGCTTTTGTTCTTTGTATGTAACGTGTATATTTTATTGTTTTCACTTAGTCACTTGCATTGCATACAGTTAGGCTTCGTGCAGTCCATCACAGTGTCTTGAAATTCACTTGTCGATATATCGGCAATACCTTGATTGTATGGCAATATCAACGTGCACCATCTTTGCAGAGAGAAAGCTTTTCACTTGCTTTGAAATGTGAGGATAAATGAACTGTTAAGTACCAAACAGTGAGCTTTTCTCATTTGCACATGCACAAATTGAGTATTTAGGTGAACCAATGAAAAGATTTCATAGCGTCAAGGGAATGTGAACGTTACATAAGTAGACGGATCTTCAAATATTCTTTCAAAGAGTATTCTGTGTAAACATCAAGTTGAAAATAATGTGTTTTAAAATAGCTAACCATCAATTTGGCGAAGTGTTGTATTATTTTTAAGTTGTCAATCGTTTTTGTTATTTTCTATTCTAATTTTAACTATACTTGCCACATATTTGAAAGAACTCCAGCAAATCTATTCTTTAGGAATGTCGCGTGAATTAGCAGTTTGTTCATTCATTTTTTACATCTTTCTCAGTACACAAAAGGCAGTTGTAACAGAAGTTACAATGGGCCTCTAATTTCTGTTGAGTTCGTTTATGGTCATGTTGTTTGCCTAATTGTAATGGGAATAACAATCATTGCTCGAAATGCTAAGTGCATCTGCATTCAGCAACAAATTGTATTTTTCTCCTTTGAAATAAAGGTGTCTCATATTTAAAAATGAAAATAAGAATTAGTGTGTTATAGGAAAAACATTTATTGTGGATTAAAGTTCATCATTCAATACCATTATGTTCTGACAATTACACCTTTCAATTAGCCTTCACAGTTTTTTTTACAGGACTCGATGCTTAAGGTCCAGTTTTGCATAACTCAACGAGATAATGGTGTTATTTTCTAATTGAGAAATTGATCCTTTATTGCAGTAAACTTTAAAGCTTCCGTAAATTCTACTCTCAACAATTCCCGAAGTATGACACATTGCACCGTCCTGTTGGAACCAATCATCAAGGTCCATGTGTTGTAATTGAGGTCACAAAAAACTAGTTATCATAGCTTTTGGCCTAAGTGTATCTTATAGGGATCAATGGAAGACAATTCATATGTATAGGTAGTCGTGTCAGCTGCTTGTGGTGCATGCGTCGATGTAAGAGAGTGCACATGCGCTCTCTCCATGTGATAGACGCATGTAGTAAGCACTCTAGGCAGGCAAGCGCGAACAAAAGCAAAGGTCAGAACACGACTGAACGCAAAAGCATATTTTGCAAATAAACTCAACCGCTCTATAAGTAATATGGCACTAGTGCCGGCTTACACCAAACACTGGGTATGCCGGCTTGTCGAGGACCTACTGTACAGTCTGTCCCATTTTGGTTGAGACTACAGTGTATCTCGGCTGTTTTTAAAGATAGATATTTGCAGTTTCTCATTTTTTTGTGAAACTTTTAATACCACAAACAGAATCAATCTAGCTATGATTGTTTCGGAGATACAGGGTGAAAACAAAAAGTTTGACTTTTTGGGATGTCATCATATCTCACTATGTAAGATAAAAAAAAGTTAAAAACTGTATACCTTAGATATTTTCTTGTAGAATTCAGGGGCTTTGCCCACTGTTTCTGAGCTTTGATCCAAAGTTGGTATTTTTTAAATGCAACATCCTGTATATCGTAAGGTAAATTTTTTGCATTATTTTCCTGATTACATTGATAATAAATAGTAGGTCATGGATTTATGGACATTTTGTTTTGTGTATTCTATCCATGGCAACCGATACCAATGGCTGACTGTAGAAACATGCCACTTGAAAATTTTGAAAAAAAAAATATAGGTTGTGGTACATCAATGTAATCAGGAAAACAAATGCAAAAAATTGAGGTTTGTGGTATTAAAACTTTCACAAAAAAGTGACAAAACCCTATCTAGTGTCACTCCCAGATACTTGGCTTTATTCTCAATAGAGATAGACGTTCCCTAAATGCAAACGCCGCTTTTGTTCCCATGGGACTCCTATCCTGGTAAATGGTATCAGCGAGGTCTTTGATGGATTCACCAAAAGTCGCTCTCTCACTTGACCTTGACAAAATTGCAACAAATTCTTAAATTTTATAGTGATAAGTGTATTATATATTCAAAATCCCCATTAATCCCAGCCCACACATTAGAACCTCTTTAACGGTAAAAATGGGTACTCACTTGAACAAAAAAAGTGGGACGCGGAGCACGAAATAGAATGAAGTTCACAACAGAAAACAATGTAAATGTCGCTATTTGTGACGTCTAAATTACATTCAGAGTTTTCAGACGTTATACAATATGGCTCTCTGCTATATGATAAAGTCTTGTATAATAAACAACTATTATACTTTTATCTTTGTATTTTAAACATTTGCCAAATTTTATTGAAATAACAAAGTTATAAATTTTGAAATGGAAAATACAAAATTCAGCCCATGGCTTGGATTTTGACTGATTTTCTAGGCCAATCGCTCTTCACGGCAAGTATACCCACAGTGTTCTAATTAATAGCAATAACAATATTTCTATTTGCATGCAGGAAATCCCCCTACAGGCTCTCATGTGGATTCCTGCACTTTGTACATTTCTCATAATTGATGTTGTCAATTTAAATGGACACTCTATGCAACTAACACTTTAACAGTGAAAGCAATTTAAATTAAGGGTCTTGCGTTTAGCATGCAAAAATTATTACTGTTAATCATGGGCTTCTTTAAGCAAAGCAGGATACATTGTTTTCCATAGGTCCATCGCTTTAAATCGGTCGTCCAATGTTACCTGCAATCATACATTCTTTGTTTGCCTGGTTTATAAAAACAAATCAGAAGCTATTTAAATTCTAACACTGTAGCACATTTGCTATTCTAAATTGCTTTCAATAAATAATATGCCTATTGTTCTTACAGATTGTACCGAATTTGGTTAGAATATTGAAAAACCTGATCCTGGCAGGATATTCGCCCGAGCACGATGTCTCGGGAGTTAGCGATCCATTTTTACAGGTACGCCTTTTTGAAAAAAAGTTTTGAAATTTTGACCAAATTTCTAGGTTAAAATTTTGAAACTTCTGCGGGTGTTGGGGAAGAACGACGCTGACGCTTCGGAGGCGATGAACGACATTTTGGCGCAAGTGGCGACTAATACTGAAACCAGTAAGAATGTTGGTAACTCGATTCTGTACGAAACTGTACTTTCGATAATGGATATCAAATCGGAGAGCGGTTTGAGGGTGTTGGCGATTAACATATTGGGGCGGTTTTTACTGAATAATGATAAGAATATACGCTACGTCGCGTTAAATACGTTATTGAAAACTGTACATATTGACACGTCGGCCGTTCAAAGGCATCGGTCCACGATATTGGAATGTTTGAAGGATCCCGATGTTTCCATTAGGAGGCGTGCGATGGAGCTATCGTTCGCGTTGGTCAATTCGCTGAATATTCGAACAATGATGAAGGAGCTGCTGACGTTTTTAGAAAAGTCTGAACCTGAGTTTAAGGCGCCCTGTTCGTCCAGTATAGTGTTGGCGGCGGAGCGATTCGCACCAAATAAACGGTGGCATTTAGATACATTGCTCAAAGTGTTGGTTGCGGTACGTATAAAATGCACGGTTTCTGTGTGAGTGCATCAATTTCGTTTAGGCCGGCAATTACTTACGGGATGATGTGATTGCGTCGACCATTCAGTTGATTTCCGAGACGACCTCTCAACAAGCGTACATAACGTTACAACTATGGTATGCTCTATCCGAGGATAAAATGGACAAACAGCCACTAATTCAAGTAGCGGTGTGGGCCATTGGCGAGTACGGAGACTTAGTGCTTTCGGCGACCTCGGACGATATTAGTGACGTTGCGAAACCAAGCGAGGATGATATCATAGATGTATATAAAAGACTATTGTGGTCTCCTCAAAACTCCCCCACAACAAAGCAATTCGCTCTTATGTCGCTAACAAAACTTAGCACCAGATTTAGCGAAACTAACAGGTATGGCGATTTGAAATAATTTAGGCTAGCAAAATTAATGAAACCAGCTTAAGTAATTTGTGTAGTTTTAAAAATTGGCACGTTAATACTAGTACCGATTATTGTCCTGATAAATAAAAATACTAAAAATCACAAGAGGTAGGGAAGTCAATCAGCAGTTGAAGTAGAAAGTCGTTTTAATAAATAAATAAGAGAATGAATGACAACAACTGTCAAACCAACTGTTTTCAATCTTACCAACCGTCAAATTAAAAAGATATACCTAGATATAGGTTATCGGCGATTTCTGATTTCAGGTGCGCAGCACTGCAGCAGTAATGGATAACAAAAAAAAAGTTTTTGGCTGTAAACCAGCATGAGGGTGCAAATTTGTTACTTTTTGACAGTGATTCAAATACTAAATCATGGGAATGTGTAGAAATATTCATTGCAGACGCAAATGATTGCCAAATTATCTTTATGAAACAAATCGCATACCAAAACAGTCAATCATAGAAGACATAAGGGCTAATTTTTAGGTTAAAATAACCTTCAACATGTTCTGAAACAACAGTAGTAATATAGGGCCGGTTCTGGACCACTTCAAGGTCACTCGCCACCTGACGGCGACCTTGGAAAGTAGGTCAAGCTGATGTACCACGTGGTTGTGGTGAAGCTCAAGGGAATTTGCTTTCAAAGTTATGTCGCTCGCTACCTGGCGGTAACTTTGCGAAGTAGGTAGAGGTGAAGCTCAAAGGTAACTATCGATCAAAGGTCGCTCATTCCACTATTGAAGGTGACATTGGGAAGTAGATCGAGGTGGCGTTTAAAGGTCAATTCAACTTTCTTTAATCGAAATGATCGTTTTCTAGACTAGAGGCTAGTTCAAGGACACAATATTAGGATATAAAGCGCATATGAATATAGTTCAGTCGGTCAGTGCCTTCATAAAAAATTGATTTCTTAGATTTAAATCGAAACACAAACACAATTCGCTTAAAAATCCCAGTGAGCTTAAAATAAAACACTGCACCTACGATATTAATTTTTCAAAATTCTATCTGAGAGATGAAATGCAAATATTTAAAGAGTGCAAAGTGTGCCACTTAAAAATACGAAACACTTCAGAATATTTAAATTGTACACAATCCACAACATATTCAAATATTTTGAATATCCTGAAACAGCATCTCGTACGACCACAGTCATATACACAGGTCTGGAAACCCTGTTGTTTGAAATGAGGCGCTTACGTGTCGTAGTTCATCACTCAGCTACCAGATGGCGCATGTATCGAAGTATGTTTTCAGAATTAGGCGCCATATTGTGTAGCCAACGAAAGTACAATCATATGTAAAACACGCGTCCCATTAGCGCAGATCGCAGTTGTTAGAGAACATTCCTCGACTCATGCGCCACCCGTGACGATTTTTGCTAATACGCATCACTACTACGCGACAGTTAACGCGTAATGGCCTCACGTGTCACATAGGAAACAGGCTTGAGTTTCCAGACCTGTGTATATGATCGGCACTTGCCTCGCAAAACCTAAAAGGGTTTAAAATGTGCACTCTGTAATGGCATTATATGGAAACGTTAGACAATGTCAATGCACCCATATTCAGGATGTTTAAATAAAAAGGTCGGATATTGTATCCACATACAGGGTGATTCCTATAGTACCTGCCACCGTTTGGGAGCGTATAGGGGGTGCCTAGGGGAGTATTTTGATATAGGACACTTGGGGTCGGAAATCTAAAATAAGGGCGCCAGAACCAAATTTATCTTCTGGAATTTCACGCCTGTATGTAGGCAACCCAAACGACCGACGTTTCGCGCGGAGCGATGCAGAGCGAGTTAGCGCGAGGAAGCGACATGGGAGGGAAGGAGGGAAAACGACAGTCAAAAGCAATAACGTTTACAAGTTTTCAACGTGGCCACCGTTGTTCTCAATGCACTTCCTACATCTAGCCAACTATTATTATACTATTGCCATAGTGTTTATTCACTTGATACGCGTCGTTGCAGACGGGATTTCGTGGGTTTAAACAAAATTCTGATCAAGTGTCAGCCACACATCGCCGCCTGAGATCGCTCCGTGTGCACCGCCGGCCGGTTGGGTTGCCTACCTACAGGCGCGAAATTCCAGAAGGTAAATTTGGCTCTGGCACCCTTATTTTAGATTTCCGACCCCAAGTGTCCTATATCAAAATACTCCCCTACGCACCACCTACACGCTCCCAAACGGTGGCAGGTACTATAGGAATCACCCTGTATAGTACTCATGAAAGAAGTTAAAAAGTCAAGCATAGGTCCGCGAATTAAATGTTTCAGTTTGTATTGTCTTCGACAAATTACATTATTAAAAACAAACGAACAGTGTTGTTTGTTGTTGTTGTGTTGTAACATAAAATGTCCTTCTTCCATTTCCACTCAGACCGCACTCATCAAGGAATACCTGTACCAATTTTGAAAACTACATGATTTAATTGAGCTCATCATCGATTTTTAATCTAATGTGCTTACACTAATTTTTATTTCAGTAAAATTCAACAAATTGTAAGTTCATTCTGTTCAAACCTCCACATCGAATTGCAACAGAGGGGCGTGGAATTCACGCAACTATTTGGAAAATATAGTAATTTAAGAAGCGCTTTATTAGAACGAATGCCTCCAATGGAAGTGGTTCGAACCGGCAATGAAGTGCAAACCAATGGTGATATGGACGAGAGCGAAGATAAAAGCAATGAAAGTAGCCCCCAGCATATTAATAATACTGATTCGGTAAATTAGTTACGATTGTATTATGTTGTTGTTACCCGAATGTTTCAGAATGTGCTGTTAGACCTGCTAGGCGGTACTGATAGTTCCGATTTGGATATAATCAAACCTAGTTCGATTCCAACGCAACCCATATCAAATAATCAAGATCTATTAGATTTACTAGGAGGATTAGACTTATCCAACCCCGTACCGACGACGGACACGAGCCTTGGGTTTATAATGGAAAATAACAACGGTTCACTTCCGCTGGATAATAACGACACCTCTGGCTTCTTAATGGGGGATATTTTAAACACTAATTTAGTTAATGAAAAACATGTGCCTACATTAACAGCGTTCGACAAAAATGGTCTTAAAATTGTATTTTCGTTAGAGAAAATGTCCGAGTCAAACATGGTTTCGATACATTTAACCGCAACTAATAGTACGATATCAAGTATGACTGACTTCTTATTTCAAGCTGCCGTTCCTAAAGTAAGTGGTACCGCATGATTTACCGTTTTCTATATTTTTCTTTTACTAGGCATTCCACTTGCAAATGCTGTCACCGTCGGGAACCATGATATCTCCAAATGGTCAAGTGACACAAATTTTAAGAGTTACTAATCCAAACAAGGTAACTTTTTCAGTTAATTTGTAATCTGCTTTTCTTATTTATGTTTTGATATTCATAAATCCTCTGCACAATATAAATGAACAATGCAAACAAAATTATTCGGTTTAAAGGACCAATTTATAAAGACCATAAGATGACATCCTCAGTAACTGATTTTCTGTAAGGCACAACAGACACACTTTCACATTTCATCTGTGAACTTTGTTATTTTTCCATATATTTGTACTACTGTTAGTCAGCACACCATGTGTCTTGCTGGTATCAGTTTGTTGTTGAAAGCATGTAGAGAAGATAAATAGACTCACACTATATTATTTTTCAATACATTTTAAACATTTTATTTCAGGGCGCACTACGAATGCGAATTCGATTGTCATATACCATAGATGGCGCCCTCATACAAGAACAAACGGAGGTAAACAATTTTCCCACTCACATTTGGGATTGACGGAAAGTAGGTTAAGATTCATTAACGTTAACATTTTTTTATCATCATTTTCTCTGTTATTTAAAGTAGATTTTTCAATCATAGGTTTTATACCTAGATTTAGTTTTTTTGTGGTTAATGCGTATGCTGTAAATAGTTACAATATTTTTAATACTGATCCTATGTACTTAATTTCTAAAAATGCAAAATATTCTACAACTTTCTTTAAATTTTTATTTGCTCAACTCTGTACTCATTTATTTTACATCTTGTAACGATTTCGGTTGGGGAATTGTGATTGAAAGTGTCCATCCAATGTTGTTTGTTTCGTTAACACTGCACCTCTTACGTGGTGTGTTTACGCAAGTTACTATATCTTAAGGGAAAGAATGGGCCACTTTATGCGTCGCTTCACTATAAATTATTTATTACACTAATTTAATATTGGAGAATGTGATATCTTCAATATTTCTGCAAAAATTATTTCCCGCCTTGCCGTATCATTACATTTATTTCACACTACAGTAAAGCGGTGGAGTTGTAGCTTTGCAACTGCGTGTGCAGAGGCTTTTACTTATATCTAACAGTATTTTTGGTCCCCCAAGTCACTCGAGAAATTAGAGGCATCTGCAGGAAATCTTTAGTATTAATGCTAGTCAACAAAATTTTTGCAGAAATATTAAGAAATGGTTAGTTATCGACTGCAAAAATCGTTTTTTTATAATTATAGTGCATTTTTTAAACCATTCCGATTATAATTTTGAAGAAAACGACATATTTTCTATAAATATAAGTTTAAGATTCATACTATTAGTAAGTAAACAATAAATTTATATATTCCGTTTAATTTAATATTTGCTTGTTATGTTTGTATATATTTATCATGTTATTTGCGTCCACCTAATAGATTAAATTAAAGCAAACTAGTATTTTTTATGAGTGTATATTCAATTGGCCTACGTAGCAAAATAGATTCAGAACTCCACACTCTACCTTTTGCTTACTTGAATTTCTTTGCAGTCTAGAATTTTTGGTCAGTGAGTGGTGCCTCTTTCTATGTCGTTTGATTATGCTTTGTAATTTAAGTATGTAAATTATCAAAGAACAGTTTACCCCACTTCAAGTTCCCTTTTCAAGTGTATAATGCTCAAATAAAGGCGGAAAGGGGTGAAATTGGTGTGGCGATTAGAGATTGAAGACCGTTTCAACGCGAATAATAAGTCAACATGATGTATCGAACACACTTTTCTGCAGAACTGGAGACTGCGATTGGTAGCAAATTTTTCCAAAAAGTCGTTATTTACACAATGTTCTCAAAAACCCAAAGTTTCTCTTACAAATTCAAAAAACCCCAAGATGTAAACTCTCACTTTCAAAAGGGTGTCTATTCAAATTCAAACATGTTATTAAAAAAATTTCTACAGCACTACCTTAACACTGAAGTTACCCTCAACCAATGTAAACATAGTAAATATACGATAAGGTTTGTTAAAAATCAGACCTTCAAGGTGTTGGTCCTTTGAGCCGAATTAAATTTCTGTTTTTTTTCGCCTTTTAGATTATTTCAACAACATTCAAAACAAAACGAAATGACATTTTCACAATTAAGCAACTTAACCGAAAATATCCAAACTATAAACCAGTAAAAAACAATGTCCGGTACGAAAGAGCTGGTGATAACAGACCCTCTATCTATAGTTAAAGGAGGACTATGTGTATAAAAATAAGTTATTTGGAAAAAACCGATTGTTAAAAAACAAAGATTAGGTATACGATACGCTTTTATTTATTTATAAATTTTGGTCAATTTAGAACCATGACGGCTACAGGGAAAGGAATCCTTGCGAGCAGCTTTCATGTGTTCTGCTTCAGCGATTGCGACTATTCAATTAACACCCATTTAAACTCCTGTGTTTAATTCAGGAGTGTAAAGTAAAATTACCCCAACAAACACTACCCTCTGGTTGTCCACCTCCATTTATCTATTTATACAGTGTATTTCAACAAAGCATGTCAAAGAATAGGAAGTTAAAAATGATATATACTAACTCTTTATTAAAAATAAAATTTTTTGTTCAAAATTATAACCACCTACTTATAAACATCGTATATCAATTACTACAAAGATTTCCCTTCAGTTTTAATACTAATTAGCAGTACGTATAGTTACATATATACAATTAAAAAAAAAGTAGATCTAGTGTACTTATAGATAAGCAAAAATATCAGTAGTATGAATCATAAAAGTGACTAGTACTGATTTAAATATGAAAATGATAAAAGCACCATTGAAATCTACTTGACAACTAAAAAAAAAAGTGTTTGTTAGCTGCATTGCATGGAAAGCTAGAGAACAACCAATTGTTATCACCTATATATATAAAAATTAAGTACAACAACGCCCAAGTTCTCAAATCGTTACCAATTTAATCAAGAATGAAATCCCTTTTGGTCGTGTAGTGTAATATTGGTAATATCTTTAACGATCATTTCTGCAACCTGCCAAGCCATTTCTTGTTTTTTACTGTCTTCCTCGATGTTAACAAACTTTTTGACTGCTATCTTAAGTTTAGAGGTGACACTTTTATCAGGTTCCGGGTCATAGTCGGGTTCATACTTCCCCAAAGCGGAAATTCTGCCTAACGATAACCTGTTATGTCTTTTTCGTTTCCATAACGAATCTGGATCATACAGTTGCCTTGTATCAATGTTCATATCAGTCCCTTTCTCTCTCTTTTGTCTTCTCATATTCTGTGGTACCTCCATGGCCAAAAAGGTGCTGTTTGTGCAAAAGCTTTTTTCACTACTACACTCCGAAGGTGAATATTTATTGTCCATCGAATTGTTGTGCACTGAGTTAATTAGTTCCGATAAATACTTATAAAACAATTGAGAGGCGACGAAAGACTTCAAGTAATTCTTTTCGAGGACTTGTTCCACTATGGTCAACGGTAGATGAAAGCAGTCCACCATGACTCCATTTTCCCCGCAAATACTTTGTTCGACTGCAAACCGAATCTTATCACCGAACCCCAAAGGGCAATGTGCTTGAAGAGAGAAATATTTATCGTACAATACCACAGCATCACTTTGTGCTTCAACAGGATCAAAAAACTCTTTCTGTTCATTTAACTGTAATTGGAAATTGCTGGCCGCAATCCAAAATTCTAGCAAATTTCGACTATTTTCCTGCTCCAAAAATTCCATAAAATAAAATAAAGCAGTTTCGTTATATAAAATATCATCCAGCGCGACATTACCACTGGTTAATACATCAATTTGGTGCTTACAAAAAAAATCACTCGCGAGAAAACCTTGGAAATAATCCTTTTCTAAGATATCTCGAATATATTTCTCTACGGATTCAAAACATGTAAGTTTCAAAATTTTCGTCGAATCACATATGCTTTCTATAACTTCCTTTCGAATGTCCTCTACACATCTTATAGTTTCGTTGGCTTCTAAACTGATATACGTTTTAAAAATTTTTAGCGCCTCCTCCGTTAATTTGTGCAGTAATTTATTTCTGACTGGGCTTTTGTCTATATTGCGGATCCATTCATCGCTACAGCTACTGTTCACCTCATTCCTGCACGTATGAGAGCCCACAGTTTGACTAGTTTCGGGAAATCTATCACATATAACATCTAACTTACTTTTGTCACTTACTGAGGGTTTAATTTCAGCACTTAATTTACTATCGGATACTAGATAAGAAGAGTAATCACATAAGCTATAAGAGTCCGTTGTGTAAGAATCACAGTCAGTACTCACAGACAGACTGTCGTGATCAATCGGCGCACTTAACATGGGAGATCTGCACCTGTGCTTTTCGGTCGCACATTCTTTTGGGTTGGTCAGTAGCTTCTGGGTTTCATACTTGAATTGTTCAATATCCATCCAACAATGAATGAGTGACAGAACATTACGAGTTTCAAGATACTGGGCGAAATGGCCAAGGGCCGACTTATCATCCAAGACCTCCTCTAAAGTTTTTGATAATCGTGAGTGTTGCTTTGTTGCTTCCACTTCACCTAAAACAAAAATGAGTAATTTATGTTTAAGAAATTTTATACACTGTTACTAATTAGCTCAGTACACTTGAATCAACTTACAAACATCAAATAAACCTTCATCTTCAAACGAGGCCAGTACACCCGAATGACAAGAGTCAAAACTGCCTATACCCGACTGTACGCTGTTGACATTCGAAAATGATTGACCGCTGGATGACGTGACATCTACCGGGGACGAGGAGTTGGATCGGTTGCTTTCTTTGGTACCTGAAGGTATTTGAGTGTAAAGTTTAAATTTTGTTGATACTCCACTTACTGGACTTTCTCCAGAACTTTAACATTTTTCATATTTTTTTAAAATCTTGCAGTACACAATCCAAAAATAACCGTCAAATAACATTTAGTAAATAAGTAAGTATTTTTACACGTAATCATGACAAAAATAACAAGTTCTCGCCTATTACAAATGAAAATTCTTGGTTAAGGCGGATTCCAATTTCAAGAACTTTTGAGTTTTTGACATATGACACATTACCAAAACTAATGTGAAGATAGTCAAAGGCAAAAATGAAATATATGTAGTGCCCTTGCTGCCCATATAAAGGGCGATCAAAAGATTGATGTCGAGTTCAAGTTAAATCATGGGGCGCGGTCGGCGGACAGCAGCGGGTAAAAGCCATATTAGAGACGATGCAATTTGTAGAGCAATTCTTGCAAGTAACAATTGCAGCAATTGTTGTAAAAAAAAGTTGGAGTGATTACTCATCACAGCATCCTGCTTTTCAATGTCTGGACAAATTAGGTGGAGTCGTGGACTAACTGTTCAAAAGTCCTTTCATCCATGTTCCGTTCTAATATAGAAAATTTCGGGTTCAAGAAATTCATTTAGTAAATATAGTCTTTCCTTTGTGAGATCATTATAGTGACAAGCCACTGAAAAACGTCGTTGTTTTCTTTGTTTGTTTTTTAAATTATAATAATAACTATTTTAACGAATTGCTTATATTTCTGTATAAAAATAATCAACTATTTCAGTGTTGAATAACAAACTTGATCATAACTAGGGAGGGAATTCTTTCCAATGGATAGGGACCACTTTAATTAATTTAAAAATTAAATGTTATTATAATAGTTACTAAATTGCAAGAAAAATAGCACAAGTTCTTCAACAAGAAAATTGCAGAAGGTCTTGCAGCAATAAATACAGCAAGAACTTGCACGTATGCAATTTTGACAATACACCGAGCAATTTTTCGTGTAATTTCTTGCGCTGATTGCTGTTGTCCGCGCCCATTGTTTATTCATTAAACAAAATGTACGTATTTTATATGCTGTATGTCTCAGGTTGAACGCACCATAGGCAAACAGAACTAATATTTTTTCGCGAAGGATCCACGTTGCCTTTGACATATATTTGAAGTTAAACGTACGTTATTACAATTGCTTCATGCTAGAAAGAGATTGGAGTAGTACGTTGAACCTTGAACGCTAATTTCAAAGGCCTTGTGGATCCTTCGCGAAAAAATACATTGCCCTATGGTGCCACTGGGACAAGGGACACACTGTATATGGTGGTGGTCCACTGAACTCTTCGTCCTGCACTGGCAGTTGCGAAGGGCAGTTGGCACTCCTGCGACCACAAATCACATTTGTATGTGATTTGTGCCTGCGACTCTCTAGCCACATTCAGCTATAAGATATATTAAAATAAATAAGTCAAATATAAACAATTTTAATTAAATAATGGTATGATAAATACGTGAGACGTGAATAGAAATAGACACATAACACATCCCAGTGTTTGTAATTAACAACTAAAGACCCTAACCTCTCTTTGCTGTAGTTCATATTTTCAAAATGTCAAAGCCTGGCACTTCCTCAGATTCCCAAAAAAGTGTTTCTCAAAAAACATGGGAAATGTCCAACAAAATTGAGAACATAAGTTCAGTAGACGAGATTTATCGTTACGATAAAAAGCAACAGCAAGACATTTTGGCAGCTAAACCGTGGGAAAAGGAGTATGTATTATTATAAATTGTAAGAATGGGACTAATTGTTGTTGTAGTCCCCATTTTTTTAAGGACATTAAGATTTCGGCTTTGGCGTTGTTAAAAATGGTGATGCACGCTCGATCGGGCGGTACATTAGAGGTCATGGGTCTACTTCTTGGGAAAGTTGATGGTAATACCATGTTTGTAATGGATTCGTTTGCTTTGCCAGTGGAGGGTACAGAAACCCGAGTAAATGCGCAGGCTCAGGCATACGAGTATATGAGTTCATACATTGATGCTGCTAAATTGGTAAGTGTCTGTTAAGCCCTTGCGTTACTTTACGGGCGTGTGAGTAGGTTGGTCGGCAAGAAAATGCAATTGGGTGGTACCATAGCCATCCAGGATACGGATGTTGGCTGTCGGGTATCGACGTTAGCACTCAGATGTTGAATCAAAACTTCCAGGAGCCATTTGTCGCTATCGTAATAGATCCTGTCAGAACCATTTCGGCAGGAAAAGTGTGCCTGGGAGCATTTCGAACTTATCCCAAGGTTAGTGGTCACATTTAAATGGCTGTCTCAAATTCGATTTTAGGGTTACAAACCGGCAAACGAGGAACCTTCAGAATATCAAACGATTCCTTTAAATAAAATTGAAGACTTCGGAGTGCACTGTAAGCAGTACTACTCCCTCGAAGTTTCCTACTTTAAGTCTGCTTTGGATCGTCGCTTGTTGGATTCATTATGGAACAAGTACTGGGTGAACACGTTAAGTTCCTCAAGTCTTCTGACCAATGCTGATTACACAACCGGACAAATTTTCGACTTATCCGAGAAACTGGAGCAATCCGAAGCAGCTCTGGGACGTGGTGGATTTATGGTCGGCGGTAGCGATCCCCATGAAAAGAGAACAGAAGATAAACTTTTAAAGGCAACAAAAGATAGTTGTAAGACTACCATTGAGATTATTCATGGACTGATGGCTCAAATGATTAAGGATAGATTGTTTAATAGCACTTGTCCTAAGTCTTCTGTTTAGTTTTAGATGATAATTTTGTATGCAACTTTCAAATGTACACAAAAATACATAATTTTGCTTTGATGTATTTAAAGGGTAAGTTTTTGAGTAATTTATTTTGTGAAATTTTCTGAATTGTCTTAAAAACCGTGGATATCTCTTAAGGGCTCATGTATGTAACACATACACAGGTAAACATTTATCATATTTAGGTGGCACCATACATTTTAAAAAATAGCTGTGAGAAAAAATACGAAACACTGTATACAACAGTCCTGATGTCTTCGACTGTTCTATGCAGGTGCCGAGGAACAGGGATTTTCGTAACGAAGCTTGGCAAGAAAAAGTTAGCTTCGGGTTCTCACAATGATTTTGTTGTTTTGTTTGAAAAGTGCATTTACACTTTACAGGTAGTTATCATTTTGTACTAATCGATTTAATTTTGAGTATTTCAACACAGATCTCAAATCTTCGTCTAATACATGCACTTCTTGATCTTAAAGTGTGCATTTTGGTCATTGAGTTAGAAAACTAATGGAGGGAATATAATGGTAGAGGGGGTAAGAATTTTTGTAGACGGAAGTTGCCACAGATAGAGGCCACTCGCGTGGATAGGTTCCCGTGAAGGTACATTTTGGCCAACATTATTTGACATATGAAAACGCGGGTCCTGTCACTGTCAGTTTTCCACCAAATTCAAATTTTATTAAATTTGCCATTTTAAAGTACCTAATAATTTCGGATCGGTTTGTGCTCTGGTTTATATAAGAACTAACTGCCGCATAGTGTTTTTATCACACGCAATTTTGTGAATTGAGAATGATTAGCTGCGTATCATGCAAAATTTCTCATAAAGGGAAGAAACAGGGCATTTCCTTTCATCGGTAACACATGTCATTTATCATGTTGTAGGCACCTATAGTTTATGTTTCTTAGTTTTCCAAACGAACCAGTACTTCGAACAAAATGGTTACCTAACATTTGTAAATATATCTCAAGAACAGCTCTCGAAATTTACTTTTGTGCTCACAACGCTTCATTGACTGTGATTTGGATTTCGACCAAAGGTTGCACTGGAAAATGTTCATCAAATATCTCGTCAAATATGCAGTAGGTACTATCAAAACTTGTAATGAACCTGAGACCAACCAATCAATTGTAGCTATTGATCAACACAGTGAATTTAATGGGAGTTGTCAAGTTGTAGTGGCTATAGTAAACTGGCCTTAATTATACTAATGGAACACATCGATGTATATAAGTATATTTAGATTTGTAATCAATGATTATATTAAATCTGCATACTTTCCCATCCTTGTCTATTTTGTTTACTTTACCACGAGCATGTATTTTAGTCCTTCTATACGTTTTTTTTTGTTATTATTCCTATTAGTGGAAAGAAAATTATATCTCTACGCCACTGAAGTGAGACGCTAATGATAACGGAAGTGGTGTGGTACTTTAATCACAGTTAGAGGCCACTTTTGGTTCCCGTGGTCTACGTCTGGCCAAGCATTTGATTCCCTCCATTAGTTTTCTAACTCAATGATTTTGGTTCACCCTATTATATGCCTATTATTAAACTAAAGATTGTCACTGGACAAAAAAATCAATTGTTTAATTTTGATTTATCGATTTGCGTGTAGATACTAAAACCTCCTTTTCCCAATACAATATTTAAAAGGTATTTACTTATTTATAATAGCTATTTATGTAACAAGTTCCAAATTGATTGTCTTTGGCGCACTAGTGTATTTGTCCAATGAGCGCCAAACGGATGATTATACAAACAACGTGCTAGACAAGGATGAGGATACCTACGTTAAGCGGCACACAATTTCGGTTATAATGCAGTTCCAGTTACAGAGTACACAGTTTAATGGGTCACTTGAATCATTGTATGTAAAACAAATACAATGCTTGAATCATATACAATACAATATGTGCCTTCTCATTAGTACATATATATAAGAGATTTGTAGATACTTTCAAAATTTAGCTACTTGTCAAAATTAGTTCATTTCCAACGTTGCCGCTCGTAAAATAAAGACGGCAATAACCAACGTTTTTGGTTAACTGTGTGTGCACGTATTTACTTCCATTCGGTGTTCTGACTGACGAGAAGTGTATTTATTTTTGTGGAATTTCCAATGATGAATGATGATTGCTTATCAGTTGATAAGGAAGTAAACATTTATATCTACGGGACATTCCCACATTCCACACTGTGCTGTGCTACACCGTCACATATCACCTTCAACTTTGACAAGTAATAACAATCTAAAATTTAAGTGTTAAATTTCTTGAGATGGAATCGCTTTCCAATCTATTACAACCCCACAAGGAGTTAGTGGGCACAGTTGCAGGCATCGTGACAATTGCACAATTTTTTTCGGGGGCCGTTATGTGTAAAGATATCTACAAAAGTAAATCTACAGTTGGAACTCCATCAATGCCTTTCATTGGCGGTATCGTAATGCAAGTACACATTAATTAAAATTTGTACTGTAGACGTTATTAGATAACCACTTATACAATTAAGCCAAGGATCCTAGGGAAGTATTTTTAATGATGTTTATTTTTTAGTGGGACTTTAATGTTGAAGTATTCTATTATGCTCGCTGACAAAGCAACAATTGTGGTTAATTTAGCCGCAATTATCTTAAACGCCTTGTACCTATCATTCTATTATGCTTATTCTGAGAACAGACCTGTTGAAATTTACAAACCGTTATCCTATGGAGTTGCATTAGTTGCAGTTCTGTTAGCATATACAAGTTGGGAAGATCCGACGGTTGTTGAATATCGTTACAGTATAATCACAACAGTTTTATTACTTTTACTTATCGGCAGCCCTCTATTCCAAGTGGTATGATTTGTGTTGTCGCCTAAACATTATCATAATTGTCTGTTTTAGAGTGACATCGTGAAAACAAAAGATGCATCTTGCATTCCATTTCCCATTACGTTTATGGGTACCATTTGCTCTTCATTGTGGCTACTTTACGCTATAATTCTTCTAAATCATTTTATGATACTGCAAAACGTGGTAGGGTTGGTGTTATCTGTGATACAATTGGTATTATGCTTCAAGTATCCAAAAAGAGATCATCAAAAACAATCGTAATATACAAGCATTTTATATTAAATATGTTATCAAAGGCCTCTTCCAGTAAAATTAGGTGCAAATAAACCAAGCTGTGATAGTTGATAATAATTGAAATTTGTGTATTTACTATTTTTGGTACCTAAAGGTTTTTTAATTCGCAAATTATTGTTATTTTAACACAGTGTTATATATTTGTCTTTAGAAAAATTGACAATAAATTCTAGTTTGTGTGGTGTATTGACCATGACATCCAGATGAATTCCTTAAGGTCCTCTGTAGTCAACCCAACATATATGAAAATAGCCATTCGATAGTGGATATAATTTGCAATAGTAAAAACATGTTTTTTTTTAAAAAACAGCGTTATAAAAAGGAATAATAAAATTAATTGTGATACATATTAATAGTGTGAACATAGCCCGAAAATAAATAAATTATAAAGAGAACATTTCTGGATCATCTATGAGAGGGTGTCCATGATTCTGGCGCTGTTTTCACATTGGATGACTAGGGATATTCTTTGAAATAGCAGATTTAAAAAACGTTTCCGCGCTGCATGGGTCAGAGGTTTCAGGCCCGGTTTCTTCTATGACTCACAATTGCATTGGTACCTCCTGCAGTTAGGGTTGCCATCTCAAAACTCTGCCAACTAGGACAGGAAGCGTGAAAACCCCGGATTTAGGGATTATAAACCCGGACATATCAACTGAATTTTAGAAAAAATATTGTCTAAAGAAATAGTCTTTGAAATTCTACTTTATTTTTATCACTGACTAGACTGTTTCAAATTCAATAATAGTATAAAGGAACAAGGGACTAAAAAAGTTTTTGTTCCTGAGAGAATGGTTTAAATTTAATATTTTTTTAAATATTTTTAAGGGAACAAAAACTAGTTTAATCCAGTGTTGCTTATACTATTTTTTCCAATACCGATCGATTTAAATCCATTTTTCCATGAATTGTTTACAAGAAAACAAAAATGAGGGATTAAAATTTTTTTAATCTCTAGGGATTAAAATTACCAGTTAATGTACAAAAATTAGGGATTAAATTCAAGAAAACAATGTAGGTATTGGAAAAATTCCTTTCTTTGGTCCACTGTTATGCCACTAGTGAAAATATTCTTTCAACGTTGGCATTATGAGCAGGAATGCAAAAAAAGCACCAGACAATGTTCAATAACTCCAAGTTTAATGAGGATTCGGTGTTTTACAAAATTGTAACCAAAGCTGATTGGCGCCTTAAAAGTTTATCTTGGTTTGACAGAAACTCATAGATATCTCAGTAGCCTAAAACCCGGACTACCAATGAAACCCCGCCCGGACGCCCCCTAAACTAGGACAAATCCGGGGAAACCCGGACGGATGGCAACCCTACCTGCAGCCATGGCGGAGCGAGTTATACATACACTTGGAAATGTTTTGAATAAAGTTCTCATTTAAATCCGATCGTTTCGATAAGAAGTATGTTATCACTGCGTAGCTACTTAGTTTCAAGACGAGCAGGTTTCGTGGATAAGAAATCGGGTGTTTAATTCCGAAGACGCAAATTCAAGTAGAGGAGTGTGCGGAAATAATGTTTTAAATCGCAGAGGAAGACTTGAATCGTTTCCCGTTTTCTAGTGGACGTTTATCGTTTTTTTTTTTTGGTTTGGTGGACGTTAAAACGTAGTGTTTTTTTTTGTTTTGGCTCTAAAAGATTTTATCTAATACGTCATTGAATGTGAATGAAGGTTGAGAATAAATTTTGGCTAATGATGGAATAAAAAAAACTTTTGGTACAAGATGTTTATTAATCTGATCATACATAAAAGTTACAAATTTATTTGGTTCAGGTTTTTATTGGCAAACTGACAGCAATTTATACTGCAAGATGACATTTCGAAACGTATCTGTCCACTCCTTGTGCCAAGAACGTTCCAATTGATCTTGAATTCTAACCTTGGTCGGTTTATGAATTTGATTTTCCAACGCTAATATCTTAGATGTGGCAAATGAAGAGTCTATATAGGTATCATAAGTAAAAGATTTGATTTCCGGTATAAAATCAAATTTTTCAATGATCCGAGAAGTTTGCGTTAACCAATCCATGGTGGGACTGAGCCACCATGCCCACGAATGTTTGGTTACGTTTGCCGGCGGGTTAATACTGCTTGGCACTGGTTCAGTTTCATTTTTCGAATCCGTTTCAGATGTAAGAGTGGCCAGAAGGATGCTAGTTTTCAAAATGTCAACAGCATCCATATGCTTTCGTCTGGTGTATTCAGCCAAGTCACTGGGGAAGCTATTTAGTATAATGTGCGTATTATTATCGACTTCGTCTAGGATTCTCGAGTCATAATTTTCCGCTTTCATGTACACAGTTCGACTTTGCAAACAATTACCGGGTATATTACTAACAATAAATACGGAACCCAAAATGGTCAAAATTCCTAAGGCATATGTTGCTATCAAAACAGACAAAGTGACCGTAATGCTTTGAAGCAAGTGAGACACGTTCATTGCCATGATTTTTTCTAATTCATAATACGTGTACCATCCTCGTGTTGTGCCTTGTCTTTTTGCAATCATACTCTCAATGTCTGCCAATTTTTTCCAAAAGGCATGTTCGTGCACAAACACTTTCCAATCCTGAAAGATTATGCAATATACTACAAGTACTGAATAATTACACTCTATTACTATTGCAGCAAGGAAGTTCATTTCCAATTGGGCCAATTCTTTGGTGGAGATTCGTGCAGATTGCGCCCATTCTTCAATAAATACCTCATCTTCTTCACCGTCATCGTGCAAAAATTTACTCGACACCATCTACAGCACAAAATTAATGAATACAAATTTTAATGTTATAAAGATAGACATAATTACAATGGCTCAGTAAAGCAATTCAAAGAATGTATGACACAAAAGAAAACAAAAGTTTAAAACTGTCAGTTTCAACAGGATGGTACACCCAAGCACAACATCCCAATCGTGCGAGAATATCTATGGGACAAATTCCCAAGAAATTGTCTGATGGTATTCTGAACATATGGATAATCGTATTGTATTGGTTTAAAAAAACTTGCTCTATAGTATTTGGGAGGAATGAAGTGCTTCTAACATTGACAGAGCAGAACGCCTTTGCAGTGTACCACAAGGAAAAATACATGCCAGAACAAGTTCTAAAATATGGCCGGAACAAACATGTTTTGCTTTAGAAGAGGGGCATGTGTTACAAAGAAGTAAATTAACAGTAAAGACGTAGAAATGAAAGAGGAGAATCTAGAACAATTTGCACAAAAAAAAGTAAAAATAATCAGCCCACCATAACCCAAAATATGTCACCTCATCCTAAAGCGGCAGATATTGGAAGCACATGATTGATTTCCACTGCCACAAAGTAAAAAAACATTTTTTTGATGGTCACATTTAATCGTCTTCCTCCCTCCATTTTACAAGATTGAGAAAACTATAGCATTTCTCTTTTCTGTTCTCAATAAAATAATGTAACCAGCAAAAAAACAAAAAACTTGATGATTACAGAAGAAAGTGTCATAGACTACAAGCATGTGTAAAGGCAACAAACAAGGCAGAATGGTCAAAGTTTGATTATACAATACAAAATATGATGCAAACATTATGCTTATAATTCACTAGATACGTACCAGAGAGATTAAGAATAATTCAGAAGGAGCTACGCGGTACAAATATTCTGGGTTACATGATTTCAACTGCTCAAGGTACAATACGGCAAGAACGAAAGAGCATGGAGATACACAGGCGTTACGAGAAATTTTAGCTGCATCATTACAATGTAACCTGTCCAACGAACGGCCTGTTTGTGCTTCAGAAAATAATTCACTTGCCAATTCTACAAAAGAGATTATGTGAACATATTGTATTACTCATTGGAGTATTACCAGTAACAGGTAAGCTTAAGCATTCTGTTGAGGGTAGTTTTCCGTAATATAAGGATTTCGTAATCCGTTCCAAAAACTGTTGGTGGTTTCCAATACTCTGAAAATAAATGAGGTTAGGTTTTATTGAAATATTTTGTAAAGTGCAGTTCGGAGGTCTTACCTTAAATTTTTTTTCTTTACTTTTCTTGGATATTTTAGACATATTGTTGAGGTGGTTTTTTGGAACTTAACGAAAAACCATCCACACTAATTTTACTAAGCAGACGGAGATGACTCACACGCAAGACGGCACTCTAAAGATGGGTGCAGGCCACAGGGTCAGCACACTGTACCAAAGATTAGATCCTGATTAATTACCTCTGATTTGCATTTCAATTGGCCTCTCGGAGATTGGCCTGGCTCTTTGTTTACTCGTAAACGCAGGGTTAATTAACAAGATTGGTTGCGCAATCTTTTCTAATAATTCAAAATATGTTTTCCTTAAAAATAATGTGTGCAAGTTGTAGGCAACTCACCGTACACAAGATGTAGAATGGATGCTGGAACGTTCAAAATTAAACCTTGAAATTAGCCAATTATAAAACTTACATACAGGGTGAGGCAGTTCTGAATTTTCCGGACAGTTTAAGGTTAATGTCTCGACTATGGAGGTATTCCTCGAGGCATATATTCCTTATCTTAAAAATATTGATCATATACACTCCGTTAATTCTCTTAATTAACTAATCACTAGAACCGAGTCTCAATCTTAAGATACCTACATAGTAGATTGAACCATTTTTGTCGTTAATTTCAGTGATGTAATAACTTCCAACAAATGGTATCTGGGACACGCTTTCTAATGGATCTTACGGCTTAAGCTGGATTCACATGAATACGAAACCCGACGATACGGTCATCCGAAATGCTTAGATTGGTCTATAGTTTGAAATGTCAAGCACATTTCAAATTATTGACCAATCATAAGCATTTCGGATGATCGTATCGTCGGATTTCGTATTCATGCGAATCCAGCTTTACTGGGACATCTTATAAGAATGCTTTACTGGTTGGGGATCACGTTTGAATTTTTAAAGGAAACTTTTAACGTGTATAATATAGAAAACTGCTACTCACGAAAAAGTTGTGGTGCACCCATTCACCGTTGTCACAAATTCTACTTAAAAAAAAGTATAGGGCACTTAATTATGACGGTTGGGAAGGAACCTAAAATAACACCCTGTAATAGAGTAATTCGTATTTTGAATGAGTCTGCATTGATTTAGATGTGCAATATAATTTTTTGCATTAAATGATTGATAATATAAATAAACTCGCTAGGAGATTGATAATAAAGCATGATAAATATAAATCACATACACAAAACTTGATATATAATTTACATGGCTGTGGAAGGCAAATTCAACGTTCACAAGAAAATATGTGGAATGAATCACTATATCGTACATAGATTCTAAACCAAGTAGTTTACTGCTCTCATCTAAAACCAATAAATTTTTTCTCCAAAAGTGCTCAAGTAGGGGATAAAACGACAATGCATACAATGAATAGAATTTATTTCTCTTAATTACATTGTAGGTACGATGTATACAATAGATTGTAAATTGTAATTGGACAGATGAGATAAGCTCGAATAATGGACTGCTACTTTCAGTAGATACATTTATGTAAGTAATCGTAAAATAGAGCTTTTATAATATTGTATCAAATATACTTTGGGGTTTTAAAAGCCCATGACAATATAATGCGTAGAGCGCACACATTCTAATAATATGCAAGGCAAGGTTTACTAGTGTAAATAGTGATATGTCATTCATAAGTGAAATTTAGGAAGACCGAATGAATAATAGAGTTTATTACTAAGAATACATAACAAGGCGGAAAAACTATTTCGTTGCTACAAATGCAAAAAGCAGTATAGTACTACTGCCTAAAACCTATTACATGTTTTTACATTAACAGCCAAAAATGTAGCAGAATAGTAAAGTAGGCGTATAAGTCTTAAATTGTCACAAAGTAAAATAGAACCTAAATTACAAATAAATATTGCTTATAAAAACGTGATAAAATTCTACAAATTAACAAGAATATTTACCATACTATATAACACAATATACAAACAATTCACTATTAAATACATTAACGAGAGTATGACTCTTTTCAGTTCTCAGTTGTGAGAATATACCAAATATTAAAATAGTTAAGGAGGACAATGCCGGTTGACTTAAATATAATTATTGTCCACGACAACCTGATTTAGCATTGTTCGGATTTTGAGATACATTAAAATTTTCTACTTCCATTTACATACAGAAACATTCAGAACTTTTCAGATATCTAAACATCGCAAGAAAGAAGAAATGACAAAAATTCACCACATCAAATTGGAGCGACAACGGTAACCTTCTCCTCCTTTTTATGGTCCCCGGTAAACATTAGTGGAAACATTCCGAGAAGACATCCTAAAACTACTCCGACGACTCGACCGACATTTGCGGAGTGCCTTGAAATCGGCATTTCCATTTGTATTGGCGATAGCTTTGGAGGCGTATATCCTATTCTAGTCGCTAATCTTTCTACATAATAAGCCGAACCTAAACCTAATACATCCGAGAACGTGTTACCTAGCGCCGCAGCAGCCATTGTAGATAAACAGAAATAGGAACCCAAATAAAAGTCGATCTGGTCGCCCTGTTACAAATTATATTATGTCACTGACAAAAGTAGAAATAATAGTACTTACGAAGAGTATCATGAAGAAGTTGTCTAGAAATCCGAAGCCTATAAATGGAATGGCGTTTGCTATGGCAACTGAGAAACAACTGTTATTTATATGTAATCGAATATTATTTAAATACTTACTGTTGACTAGATTGTTCATGGAGGGCGGTGGAACAGACTCCACTAAGAAAAACATAGACGTATTAAAGCATGAAGAACTCAATGCATCTGCTGTAATTGCTGCACAAGTACTCGATTGTTGAAAGCAGAATTACGGCAGATATATTAGATGAGATGTTAATGTGTTACATAGCATCAGTGGTAAACATTTTGCATGAACTGTGCACAAATCGCATTTAATAAACCAATTCTCATTTCAGATTTTTGTTTCATTGGATTTTGACGAGTTACCGAACAAGTAGAATTAAAGAACCTGCCATATACCAAATAAGACTTTGTAGAGTATTTCATGCTAGGTAGGAAATCTAACGAGGGAACATTTTGAAATTGGAAACATCAGTTCGGAGTGGGAAGTGCTTCAATTAAAGAATAAAGGGGCAACCAAACAAGGTAGGAAGTGGGGAGTTTTAAAGGGCATAATAACTATGGTTATTGTTAATTAAAGTTTTTTCAAGAGCAACGACCTAATTTTTAAAAATGACCTTTAAAAAGTGGCGGGGTAATATTCTTATGGTTCAGGCGCACATATAATGATCCATGACCTTACCCAAACTCTAAGAAGCTACACTATCTAGCTCTAGCACTATTTGCTTCTTAAATATACAGGGTGTAAATCGAAAAGTGGAACATAGGCGTTTAACATGGGAAATAACTTTTTCTTTGCGCAAACGTTTCCTAATTATTTTACGCAAAAATACTTCAAATAAAAGTTATAGAGATATAAATTCTGCATCTAAATCATGTGAAATTGTATCTCTTCTTGTACGTGAAAAAATTAATTATAGAGATTCTGTTTTCACGAGTTTTTAGTCTAAGTAGCCATGGAGTATGTTTTTTTTTATCATATTATATAAATATTCGTTGATATTGGACCTTCATAACAAAACCAAACCAAACAGTCATAAAATTCTCCAAATCGTTCCAGCTGAATCTTTGATGACTAAAAACTAATCGTTTAGTCTCATGCATATGTAAATGTTCACCATAACATCATGCCGTTTACAATAAAAATCAACTTTATAATCCAAACCACCACCACCTGGTACAAACGTTAGTAATAATAAAGCAGCAATTAGTCGTGCACCCATCACTCAAGCGGCAGCATAAAACTTTTTCCTACCACACTTTTTCATGAGCCAATCCTCTGGAAGAAGGCAATAAGAGCCGGTAGGATCAACATCCCCTAACCTCGGTAATTTAGACGGTCTTCCGAATTTACTTCGCCAACGAGATGCGGCTAACTGACCTTCAAGTATCATAAAATATTCGTTGACATTTGATTGTTTGTGTTACGTGAGTAGAATTGTGAAGTTGTGAAAAACACAAACACTTACCTTGGTATTCATCTTTAATAAGCTTCGATTGGTACTCTTGTAACGCAGAATACAGAAGCGTTCTTTCTTCACTATTGAGTCTCAGTATTAACTCCTGCGCCTGCAATTTACTTAAACCCTGTGTGGTAGTAGTGGTCTCCGCTCGAGCAGCACTCCCCTTTACTGCTACGCTTACGCTAATACTATTTTTATGTATTTTAAATTGTTGATTACAGTCATATTTAAGTAAACCATTTGAGCTTTTTTGACTAGAAATTGTTGAATCTCTTGAAAAGTTTCGAAAAGTTAGGTTAATAAACCTACTGTATCTACTTGCAAGTTTTAAGGGATGTATATTCATCATACGCTATAATATTTAAGATTCACTATAGGAACACATCCGTATGCACGTTTAGGAAGCAGAAAAAATGTACATTTTTTTGATTTATTTTTTTTTTGGAGATTTAAAACTGTGTCACTTCCTTCATGACGGTTGTGACGTCACTAATAAATCAGCCGTGAGCCGTGTTCAAACCGCTCAATGGATCGAACTTCAAGACGTTATTACACCACACAAGATACACATTCTGATTAACCATGTTCTGTTGATTTCCACACAACATTGTTTTTTCAAAGAGGACGACTGACGAGGGCTAATTTTCGAGATTCCCAATTGAAATAATTTTGATCGTCGACTGAATTGGAATCACACCGCAAAGATTTGAATGTTATGCTTATGTTAATTATTGTTTTGCACACAATAGAGAATTAATTAAACTTTAGCCATGGGTAAATCACTGTTTTTAACTTATAACCTTATCAAAGATTACAAATTTTGCTCATCTGAATACTTCCTGGAATTTTCACTTAAATTTTAATTATTTTTTATCTTTATATTTGTTTGTTAGTTATTACCATTGTTTAAATACTTTATTTAATCAATGTTAAGGCCGTATTAGACGATGCAATTTTTATTGCAATCCTTGCAGCAACTATTGCTGCTATTATTGCAGCAATTATTGCAAAAAGATGCAATGATTACACTATGCAATTTATTTGGCAATTTTTTTATACCCAATTCTAATCATGTATTGGTGCCAATGAAAGTGGAATTGGCATCACTGGGAAATACTTGAAAGCAACTTCACGTCTGTTGTAGACCAGGAAACGTGTGTTTTGTGACGTGTCCTTTGTTGAAGGCCGTGCAATTTATTATTTATATTTGAACGCACTTATTCACACTCAGGTTCGTTAAATTCATTGAGTAGGTTTAGGTTTCCCTTTGTGAAATCGTTATTGGCAAGCCACTGCCTGGTCCAAAAACGTCGTCGTCTTCTTTGTTTCTTTTTTTTTAAAAGAGCAACAGCAGACGCAATAACTAAAGATGCGGCAGCAATATCCATTTTTGAATTCCTCGTAAATAGGTTATTTCAGTTTTAACTTTAAATAACAAACCTGTATATAGCATAAGGAGGTAATGTTCTCCAGTGCATACCACTTTATTTTTTTTATAAATTAAATGTTACTAAAATAGTTACTAAATTGCAAGAAAAATAGCACAAGTTCTATAACCAGAAAATTGCAGAATGTCTTGCTGCAATATTTGGCGCAAGAAATTGCACGTGCAATTTTAACATACACGGAGCAATTTTTCGTGCAATTTCTTGCGGCAATGAATTGCTGCAAAAATTGAAATAAAAATTGCATCGTCTAATACGGCCTTTATTACCATACAGTACAGTGATATTTATTAAGAAATAGACAAAAGGATTTGTGTATTGTTTTTCTCTATGTCTACTTTGAAAAGACAATCGCTTCTGAAGCATGCATGCATCCAAAATAGCTTTTGAAAACAAATAAACATCTGGCTGTCACATTAATTAGTTGGAATATTGTTGCTTTGGCTTAAGAAAACAAAAATCTCTTACCATGTATTTTTCCGTCTTGCTCTTAACAGACGTGTTTTATTGCCCTAAATATGAGTCACACCTTGTATATTTTACCCTTTCACAGAATCTTGGTGCCTGCTTGCCCGACCAATTGTTCCCAAAAACTTGTTTTTTATACTCGAAGCCTACATGCCACATATTTTGATGCTTTAATTGTGTGCACCAGAAAAACTGTTGACACTGTATCGCTTTTTTTAATTACAAAAGAGAGCCAAAAACTCCATCTCATGAGAGAGTGCAGACGGAGTGCAATAGACGTGAACACGTGGTCATGTTTATGTTTATTTAAAAAAGTACATGTAAGCATTTTTTTTGAGTCCATTATCAACCCAGAAAGAACATAATATAATAAATAGAGGAAATGTTAATTACCCTCTTCTCTAAGCTCTCTAAGAGCTGCAGTCCGTACGAGATGGGCAACAAAGAGGCACAGCGAAGCATCGGACTGAATGAGGTGCTTCACTCCATGGAAATAGTTAAACCTCACTCATACAGATAAACATCAAATTAGAGGACCTCCTCCCCTCTCGTTCTCGTATATGCTAAGACATAAGAACTGCAGTCCGCACGAGATGAGGAAGCAACAGATAGAGCGAAGAATCGCATGTATAAGGTACTTACTCCTCGAAAATAGTATAGGTAGTGCAACAACACACTGATAATAAACTTGTATCTTGAATACATAAATAAATACTTGATAAAACAACATAAAGGCATAATCACCGGTAGAGTATAACAAACTAAATCCTTAGACTATGCAAGAAAGGGGATTGATTCTATCAATAGCAATCCTGCCTTTCATGTACCGGCCATATTCTCGGTGCACAAAAATTGTTTACTTTTTGTTTATTACATCAGCTGCTTCATCAGTGGCGTACCTCCATTGTACGTATTGTACATTATAATGAACTGAAAATATATGCATAAATTTATAACGTATCGCTCCATTTGTTGCAGAAAGAGTTGTGCACTATTTCAGACGCTTGTATTTACAGTGTATGTACTTACAGTTGCTGCTTTAATCTTACGCCAATGATGAATGAACTGTAGGCGGCCATGTTTTGGGTGCACCGGTACACATTTGTTTTTTCTTAATCACTCCTCTATTTTTTCTTTTCTAAGGACAAACAAAGAGTATTATCTTTGGGGTAAATCCCTGTTCCCCCCACAACTGCGCACAACGATCAAACTTGAAGACTTCATAGTTCATGGTTGTTTTATACACAGAGCATTTTGTATTTTTTCTCATACTGCTAATTCTTTCAGTTGTGAGATGTGTTTCCTAACCATAGGGGTACGTTACCACAGTGTAACACCACGATTATTATGGTATTTATCATGGCGTATCGTGTTCAATGGAAAGCGTTGAGTGCGGGGTCCCAAGGCTAGGCCCTCTGCTTTTTCTTTTGTATACGGACGATTTGGATGATATTATTTCCACATTTTACACACCTTACGCGAATATTACTTTACCGTGTTCCAACAATTGTATGTAAAATCGACCTAAAGCAAGCGCATCTCCAAAATGAACTATCCTCAAAATCCAGAGCGATTACTACTTCCAGTGTGCATAATATATGTCGGTACAAAAGGTTAAACTTTGGAACAGATGTTGTACCAAATTAGATAAATCATCCACAAGTGCGTACCCCTATAATTTCGTGCCTTTCAAATATTTAAATAATCTGTCGAGAATCATACCAGCAACAATTATGTGTCTAACCTGGAAACTACAATTTCTACACTAACAAAAATAACAAAGAAAAAATTGTATAATCTTCATGAGACTATTAGGTAACTATTAAATGTGTAAGTTACAGGGAGCAGAGGTTCATTGAACACAGTACCTATATCCTTCTTATACTGTATCTCAGATAAATTTAAATGGAATACAAATTGCATCCGTTTTATATTGCTGGTGCGCATCGAAATGAAATAAATTATTTTGTGAACACAAGCGGTGTAAGTGTACATAAATAACTAAGATCTAACGTATAAATGCGAATTATTTCGCTGAAAATTGTGTAAAAGAGGAAGATCTTCTTGCGAATCTGTAGTTCTGGTAGTGTTATAAATTCCAGAGGACTTCGATCTACCCCAAGGCAAAACCACCTCTTCAGAGCCTGTGTTCCATCGCCTGTATACCAAACAGTTGAAGAAGGCTTGCAAGGGGTTGGTAAATGCCTGAAATTAATCATGTAGTAGAAAAGATTCAAGGAAATAAGGTACTTTACCATGATGTACCATGTGACAATGACTAGAGTTACAGGAAGCTGAAACCATAAAGTCCATAATAAAAACGCGTTTAGCAAATTTGGAAACCAACAAACGTAGAATACAATATTAATGACCGCAAACTTGATTCTGATTGCACCTATTACTTCCCTTTCGCTTCTCGTAAATTGTCCCGAACTGCACATGATAATCTTCTCCATATCTTTGCACGAAAATAGGTAAAGACAAGGACTTGCAATCATTATTATGGCAATCGGAATGTATGTTACAATATAGTTTGGAAGAATTCGTAGCATCGCTTCCTTTTTCGATAAACTGGCACGACAACTGAAACAATCACAATTAAAATCTTCCTCACAGTTGAATGTCATAGGTACCTACTTTGCGTCTGGATAATACAATAGTGATAACCCGATGGCCGTAAGAACCGCTGGTATAATCCAAGCTGCTGTGTGGTACAATTTTATGCGCTCCGCTTTTTCATTAAGGATCAGTCTCATATCAATTGCATAACACAAGGTCCATACCCAAGTGGATGTGTAGAAATATTGGATCCAGGCCTAAAACATTGGACTTAAGTACCTATTTAGTGGTACCTAGGTATGTAAACCAAGTTGAGAACTTACAGAAGACAGGGCGCAGAAAATAACGCTGTGGGAACCATCTATCGCCGGCATTATATCTTTGAAGTTCAGCCATAGACACGCTCGAATTAGTACTCCTATAAAATATTTTGTTTTACCTCAAAAAATGAAATGCAGAAAGGGTTATAAGTATACGAGTATGTCGAGTTTCTAATTGCTTGGACGGTAACCTTTTTTGAATTTTAGAAAATAGTTTTTCAATAGCTTGTAAAAAATCAATTTAATTGATAAAATTTGATGCTCATAGTTTGAAAATTATCGTCTGTCTGGACGTCCGCGTGCACGATAACTCATTTAAAAAACGCAATATCATTTTTAAACTTAAGTTCCTAAACTTTTACCCTTGTACTGTCTAGACAACCTCTACCACCACAAGTGTAATAAGAAATTATCAGTGAAGAAAGTTAAGTGACATTTGCTTTACATTTTGCTACATTTCTTCAATCTCTGGAGGGGTGCAGCTGCCCTCACCTGGCTCTCTGTGACGACTTCCTTGAATATACACAAGATGCCAAATGCAGATGTAATTACGATTGCTAATAATGCATAGGCTATGATAAACAAGTATGTGAATTTTTTAATGACCAAGTTAGAAAAAAATCAGTCAGCCCGTCCCACAGATTTTAAGTCATACATTCGCCAAAATTTAGGCTGAAAGATGCCAACATTTACATTTATGTACTAATGTGTGTACCCACAAATCTTAGGTCTTGTTGAGACGCATCCTCTCCTGGTTCAAGCGGACAAAACGCGACTGAGATCTCACGAGAACTGAACGTCGGAAGTGGGTATTCACAAAGGGAAAGTATTTTACAATATAATCAGCTTTCTAATAGTTTTATTTCTTATTGCGTGCCCAGTAAATTTGCCCTGAAAAATTCGTCCCTGAATGTTCGCGCTCTAATATTCGTCAACAGGAAGATTTGTCCCGGGAATATTCGCCCCCGGAAGCTTCACCACCAGAAGATTTAAAGATTTAATGGCGCCTTTACACACATTTTTTTTACTATAAAGAAAATTAAAATTGAACAAAGTTCATTTTATGATTGCTGTCACTATCACGACCTTCAAGAGCGAATTTTTCGGGTCATGTTTTCAAAAGCGATTTGTCAGAAACGAGTATCCCGGTGCGAATTTACCCCATAGGTAAGTCTTGGTCAAAAATAGAAGTTTCTGAAAATGTACTTTCTGTTTCTGATGTGCACTCTTTAGTCCAGAATTACATGCCGGTGGGAAATTTCCCAAGAGCGGATACACCGAGGGAAAATATTCTGAAGTCATGTTGGGGTGATGGAGAAGGAGCTAAATTCTGTAGTACCTACCATGATATCGACGTCAGGTGCCTGCTTTTTGGTGTGCAGCTTATGGGAATTATGAGAAAACAAATGCAACAGTTTGAGACGGGCTACGCAATTTAAAATCGAGCTTTATTATTACGGTTAATTCGTTGAGGAGGAACCTTCCTAAACGTGAATCTCTCTTTGAGCTAGTTCCTGTAGAGAGGTATTTCGGCGGGGGGAAATTCTACATGGGCCAAATTTCTGGAAGGAATCTTTCGAGAGCTAACCTTCCGGGGGCGAATCATGCCTGGCTGAATTTTACGAGGCAAATCTTCCTTTGGCAAATTTAACTGCGAGCGAGTTTTCTGGAAGGAGAACTTTACGAATCTGATGGAACTGAAAAATTTATAGAATTTGAAAAATAAAACGAATTGTAAGAATGGAAGGAATCTTAAGAATCTGGCGCTTCTGAATAATTTAAATAATCTGAAGAGTTCGGAGAAAAGGAAAAATTTGAAGAAACTTAAAAATCTGAGTTGAACCCGAAGAGGAATAATTTAGAGGAACTTAAAGAAACTAAAAAATTCAAAGATATAGAAAATTATGGTATTGGTTCATTGTAAATCACGTTCTTACAAGTGTCAATGTCTTTGACTGCGTCGTTTAATATCAATAGGGGTTTGTTTCTTAATGTATTTCAGAAGCCTCGGAGACTGGATTTCTGGAATGGGGATCATATTCAGTCATTTTAATTAGGGCTATTTAGTTACAAATGCACATCGGGATGATGTCACTTCGGCATCATGAAGTTTGATAAGTGAACATGTTTGAAAAATATGTTGGGATGATTTGTCACCTTAGCTTTTGTTTGATTCGTAGCGCGGGGCTTAATTAATAATTAAAGATGCCCGACTTCCTTAACAGTTCACTATCTTGTTGGTGGTCATTAATTAAGTAAGACATCCGGGGGGTAATAATGGTGATTTGGCAGACAATTTGACAGATGTAGCTTCAACAATACGGCCGCTATCAATTGCGGAGTTTCCTTTTAGAAGACCCGTTATAATTTCTCTTGTTACGATGGAACATTTTTACGCAATCTACCTAAATATGAAAGAAAAAAAATCCTTTTCGGCTCGGTCGATCAGGTGTAGGTAGATTTCTTTCTGCCCTTTTGTTCTAATATGGCGGAATTGTGTGATGTTTACCAGTTACACGAATCCTCAAAGTTTGATCGAAATCGGTTCCTAATTACGAATGTTAGTGTTTCTTAGAAGTGATATACTCTCTATCTGAACACCCAATGTACTTTGATCAATTTTGATAAAAATTTTTAGGTCAGGTGTATTTATTTCGAAATAAGGAACGATGAAAATTTAAACATTATAAAAATTAAAGTAGGTAGGTACCTAACACTAATAATAATAATGCTTCCATCGCCTTCACCTTCGCTGGATCTAGCTTGTGTAGGTTATGATGGGGCTAAATGCTCTACCTACAATCACCTGTAAACACTTGTAAACAGTCAGTGGCGAAAGATATGTGCCCCAAAATAATCTTTAAATTGCAATAAATTTTAAGATTCAAATTAAAATTTGAAATTTTTAAAACTAATATGAAAAGAAATACAGTATACCTAATAAATAATAATAATATCCGTTTATTGAAAAACACAGTGATTAGAAAAGCAGGTACAGTAAAAAAAGACATAGATGAAATGTTCACCGTTAAGATCAAAAGGGTGAAGTTCAGATTGGTAGTTGAAAACTCTACCATCTGATTAAGTTTTCACACACTCCAAAATTTGCATTGTCGAATACATTTCTTGCAGTTACAGTTTGTTTAAACTATCTACCAATTCCTATTTATTTCATAATTTTAATTAAAAATTTTTGTCATTTGTAACTTGTTAGGGGACTAAAACTTAAAATATTACCTAAAATAAATATAGTGCAAAAAATGCCGCCCTCTAGAGTTACCGCCCCTAGGCACGTGCCTAGTGTGCCTATATGTAAATCCGCCACTGTTAAAACAGTGATCTTCACAGGTGTCTTTTAGAATCTTAGAACAGTGTATCACAGGCTAGGATTGATTCACTCATTTTCAGTATGCCCAGTCGAGTAGCTGAATGCGCAAGAATCGATGGAATGACCTATACAATTATTAGTGTGGTTCGAATTTGTTTTAATTGTGAATTGTAACATGTTTTCCTTGTTTCTTATTTCGAAATAAATATAATTTTCCTGAAAATTTCATCAAAATTGATCAAAAGTACATTGGGTGTTCAGTTACTTATGACGAAATTCTTTTGGTGGCTATTCAACATAGTTATCATCAGAAGCACATCTTCGGCCCTTTTTTCAACTAGAAAAGATAGTAGTCGCAGAGGGCCATATCCGAACTATAGGTACTATAGCCAGGGCATATGTCTTAATTCCTGGACCCTGCAATTGTTGTGTATCAGTAATATGGTCCTATCGGTAAAATTCTGCGATCGTTTCTCTCGAATGACCTCAGCTTTAAGGTTTTTAATATCTTTTTTATAAACATCGCCGTGCCCTTTTTCATGTACTTACTCAGATCACCCAGTACCCCCTCTCAAAAAACCGTTGCCTTTAATTTTCACGACGAACACGGTTTTTTCGCTTTTCTTGGTGGTGGAGATCCTTTATGCACCAAATGCATAGATTCTTGTTTTGTGATAATTTAAGAAATCGATACAGGTATATAATTTCAATGTCGATGTGGGACATTGCTTATCGCTATTTATTATAATGTTTATATCGACATTTGATACGGTAGATAGTGCCAATGTCAATATCTACCTTACCAGAAATATGGATGAAGCCTTCACCGATAAAAATGATCCGCTCGCTATTAATCAAACAGCTTAAAAATATCGAGTGATGTAATGGGTTAACCGTAAAGGACGAACATTAGATTACGTTAAGCTATAACGTACTAATACATTTGTGATAACAATTTATTGCAGGTTAAAAGTTCAGGTCATCTACCATACTCGTCCTTGGGGTAATGTTCCTTTTTCGATGTCAACTCACCTAGAGAGGCTAACAGGTCCGTGACCGCAAGCCAGAGAATGATTTTCCTACCCCTTTCCGCAGAGAAGGAAATCCACCGATGGTGACGCGAAAATTCCCTTCTCGGTAAAATCTGAAAAAAAGGCACCTTTAAAGGTACCTATTTGAACTGAAAAAGTGACACTTACTTGATAAATAGCGCCTAGTATACCTAAAGTTGACGAAAACAAGCATATTGCATTGTAAGTTGCCGAATTAAATTCGGTAGCTACCAGTAGGGTATTTTCAGTTTTCCAAGGGGAGTTATTGCCGTTCGTATTGTAGCAACAAAACGTTTGAATTGTCGGATCGGCCATTACTTCCTAAAGTTTACCGGCAACTCTAGGACACTTCCACTCTTAGTAACATGCGGCACGCACTTATTTTTAGCAATTAAACTAATTATTATTTAAAAGCGGAACCGTTCTTGATCTTCGACATGTTTGATTTTTTGTAGACAACCCGAAGCCCGCAATGTTGCGAGATGCAACGCGATACGATGTCTGACATGACGTAGGGTTCGGCTGATATATGATATCTCCACTTCAAGTTTCCCAGTTTAACGATTTTCAAGTTGTTTTTTTTGGGTACCTATCTATAGTTTACGAAGATAAATAAAAGGTAGCGGTACCTATTCATTTCCCAAAGTCAATTTTGATTTGCATGTTCACTGTAATTCTGTGCGAAATCTGGTTGGAAAAATCTGGAAGCAACTGGTGCCAGCACGATCAAGATTTGCAGTTTTAGATTCAAGTATAAAGGTTCATATTTTGACCAACTTAATCTGGTTCGTACTTGCACGTTAATCAAATGTATTACCATTGTCTGGTCCAGATGGTTCAAAGTGTTGCTTGAGTGTATCGGTTCATGTAAGATTTTACTCTATAGGTTATCTGAAGTATATGTTAAATTTTATGAGTAATAACTTTTTTTGGCGGTTATTGATGAATAAGGAAAGTTCTGAACTTTGTAAGATTACAATTTGACCACCTGACCTGCTTTTAACTTTTAAAATTTCATAGCAGGCGGTTTATCTGATGGGAGACCATGGTCGATTGTACCTACTATGCACTTACCTATTGATGAAATATACCAGCAATTTTTTAACTGACAGGCTTTTATTTGTAAAAACATGTGAGGGGTGCAAAAAGGGGCGAGCGTGAGAATAATTATCCATTACTCATGATTGAGCGTGTGTGCGTCGAGTATGTCCATTATAAATGATTACTTTTTGTAGCGCAATTAGAGGAGAAGGTAATGTGGAGCTGTTGCAATAAAGAACAATGTTCCATTTAATTATGGCAAAATCGCCACGATTCACGGAGGATGTACCTGTGAACGTATAGGTACATCCCTCTGCTACCGTAGAGCTGTGGGTATTTATTTTTTACTTGTGGAGTAGACCATATACAACGCCAAATGAGCATAACACCCAACTTCAAATGCATTAAGCATTGGTAGATTAGTAGCAATTAAGGGGGCGAGTATACCCTAACTTTACTAATGTAGACGAGTGTGGTAGAGTTCTAGATTATGGTAGAGTAGAGTGGGATAGATCTACTACTATTAGTACTTACCTTCCATTACGACTACGTCGCACTCTATTCTACCGTCACTGTACCTGTATTCACAGTTCAGTAGACTGTAGTAGAGTGGCCGAACTTGATTTCCTTACAGTGAATTTTTTATGGAACTCTTTTTATTCCACAAGAAAAAAATTTGATTAGACTGGTCGACACATTCAGGGATTCCTTTTTTAACAATGCACATTAAAAGACAGTAGTTTACATGGACAACTTTAGAATCTCTCATTTAAAGTTTCAATTGTAATAATACAACGGATTGTAAAGCTGTCGATTGAAAGTTACAAAAATTATAACTAACCTCTTATTTACAATTCTTTCCTCAATGAGGAACTCTGGAATTTTGAATCAACGCTCTGGGGTAGTTACCAGTTGGCTTCACTAGATGCATAGGTACTTAACAAACCCGCTGACTTGAAATGCAGTAACTATTCTTTGAATTGGAAATTTTGGATGATTGATTGAGAAATATGAGCTGACTTCGGTTGCTAACTCTTCTGTTGGTCAGTGCTCTTTTTTGTTGGCGAAAAATGAGCATTTGCATAAGCTCTATTTTAAACTTTATTTTATGTCAGGTTCTGCTTTCCATGACAGTGGCAGTAACATTAAACCTTTTCTTGTCGCCTCTCACTTTACCAGACTCCTCTCAAAACTGACACATTAATGCTAATAAATAGTATATTAAGTATGGAGAACGGTAAGGAATATTTACCGTTCGAAGACAATTGTTTGGAGGAGGAGCGGAGCGACGACTCCAATTATTGTCTGAGAACGGTAACCCTTAACGTTCGACGTGCTTATAACATTTTTTGCGCGATCGAAATTAAAATTATCCAACCAATATAAATATGCACTAAGAAATTAACGAGCAGAATAAATTGCAATGATCGAAGTGGTATGGTGTACATCACTAGGTAACCAGTTTATTTGTCAAAACTGAAATTAATAATTTCTTGTGCATGTGTCTGATGTAGTTTGCTAGCTTTGCACTTCCGTTATAACTTTATGAGCGAGGTATTCGCCGGTGGCCGAATGGTATGTCGAAGATTTTACAGAACAAAATTGTAATTGGAATGTATTAAGAAAAACGAAAGCACAACTTTAAACACATTGATCTCTATTGCTTCAGGTTTAAATGACGTGTTCTTTGTATACGAAACATCAGCACAAATTGTACATTTAATGTAACAATAATTAAAGATTAAATGTAATATTGAACTGATTGTTTTTAAAAAGGCGTCGGTAAGTATTTTTGCTGTTCTGTTTTTAGATCGGTAAGTAATTTTGACGTCGTCGTAATCATAGCAACTGGTAAATTCAACTTACTGTCATGGAAACACACATGGTAAATAGTCAGAAATGACCGATCGCGCAAAAAATATTGAAAAAGAGGATTTCGGGAAATATGTATGTAATACAAAACTCGTTTATAAAATGACACTTCTTGACTTGGAAAGTAAAGTACGAGACCCCTTTGGAGCCGTTTTTCAATGTTTGCGCGCCAGTAATGTGTCATTTATTAACGAGCGACAAAAAGCGAGTTCATGAGTTTGGACTCTCTGTCCCTCCGTCCGCCCGTCTGTGTATATGATAACTCACGAATGGTTTCGAATTTTTCAATTCTGTTTTCAGTAATTGGTAGGCAATGATTAAATTTGGGCCAATACTCGTCAACCGGAAGTGAAATTGTCACTCGTCTGTTTTGGGGCAGTTTTTTCCTATTTATTTTCTTAAGAGTTTAATAAAGTAATTATACCGACTGCAATCTAAATGCAAAATGCTTGCATTCCTCCCTTCGTATATTGACAGTATCTTACAAACACTACTGTTGCTGTCTGCTTAAAGTGACACTCAAATCCAAGCAGGGACCTATTTTAACTTTTTGATTTTATTAATTCTCCTAAAAGATGTCGAAATCGTCACTTATTTATTCCACAAATGGAATGAACCTTACTTTGTTAGAATAATCCTTTTTGTCTAAGAACAATAACAAAAAAATACCATTAGACATCCACAAATAACCCTCTCTGCGGGCCGCCGATCATTTCAAGCTACATACCTGGTAAGAACATTGACTTTAACTTCTTGTTCCACATGCCTTCATTTGCTTCAACGCTACAGGTGTTTTTTGTTCCTCCGTGTAATTTTTACTCACTTAAGGTTAATAAGTGTTCCAATTTCAAGGTGGCTAACTTTTATTGTCGTACAGATTTACACCTACGAGCACGTAGTACAAAAATTTACAAACCTTTTCCAATTAATAAATGATCATATTCAGATTATTTTGGAGACTGTGGTCGTTTGATAATTCGAAAACAGTTTACCGCGGGTTGGTAATTTGTCCAGTAAGTCATTCAAATTCGGTTTAATGTATCCGTTATTGGACGAACGTCCAAAATTACGAGCTGTTTTAATTTTTTCATTGGAGTGCTGGTAGGTTCCTCGAGATCCCACACTTCGTATTCCTGAAAAACGGTCAATAAGAGAATATTAGGTACGTTTTAATTGCGCTCACCAGTGCTGGTTTCTTGTACATTAAATGGATATCCGGAATCTTTGTTGCCAATTTGGTTTTGGGGGTTGTCCGATTTGAGTTCGACAGATTTGGCACACACGCATGTAATCAAAACAGCTACCAAAAATTGTTTAATGACTTCCGTGTAAACCATCTTGTTTGTCAGGCGTATTGAGTTTAAGTGATGCTTTTCCGGTGTCGTAATTTATTACTTGGTCGGTTGCCAGGGGCGGATGGGAGTTGTTCTACTGGCGCAGGAAAATTTTATCGGCGAGTGTATTACTTTTTCTTTACATTTCATAAGTGTATGTCATAGAAAATGTGATTAGTTTATTAGAATTTCAGCGAAAACCATCGATATCTAAGATCTATAGTTGCACAACTAGAGCACGAAAGCATTTGGCGAAAGTCCGTAGTCTGACTGACTGACGAACCGATCGACCTACTGAAAAGTGTGGAAAAGAATCCCCGCTTTGTGAGTTGCTCTAAATCACCAATAATTCTTGGTAGGCGCACAAGCAATTGTCAATGTCGAATTTAGTTAAGGAAAAAATATGCCTGTCTTCCGAAAGAGAAGAGAGGTTGCTTAAGTGCTCTGAAAAAGGTGCTTAATTAAATACCATTTACCATTTAAAATAACTGCCATATACAGTGATATTCAAGTAGAAGTAGACATAGGGATTTCCTATGTCTACTTTCAAATGATAAAAAGTCTTCTGAAGAACACCTAATTGTATGCAACTAAAATAACTTCTTGAAACAAATAAAGATCTGGCTGTCATATTAATTATTAATTTTGAATATTGTCGCTTTGGCTTCACAGAAAATAAATCTCTTAAGCTCCTTACTGGCACTACACTAATTGGAAATATCAACTTTTTCTATTCAAGTTAATTAATATGACAGGAAGATCTTCATTTGTTGTACGTGGTTATTTTGGTTGCATAAAGTTAGGCGTCCTTCAGAAGACGTTTTATCATATAAAAGTAGACATAGAAAACTCCTATAGGAAATCCCTATGTCTATTTCTACATGAATATCACTGTATCTTTAAGTTTGAGATTATGTATAGTAAAGACATGCACATTTTCTGAAAATTTCGCAGTGTGTTCCGAACTAGTGAACGTATTCAACTGACTAATGGACATTTCTTCGATTGGGGATCATTTTACCGAAAAGACCACTCCCGGTAACAAAGTTTCTAACAAAGTTAACCAATTTGTTTCTCTGTCTTCTAACACTTGGAGTTTGAGGTTTCAAAAATAATACTTTATCCAAATCAATGTCTTCTTCAAATATAAGGACTTATATCCGATCACGATAAGGGGTCAAGGAGGAGGGCTATATGGTTGGTAAAAATTAATTTCTTCCGTTGGGACCTTTCATTAGAGTCCCATGAAGGATAAAACGAGTGCCTCCTCAATGTGATTTTGCGTTATGAATAAAATATGTGATCATTCACACATGAAAGTTGAAGGTGAAAGGTGACATTACGCCAACTCTTCAGTTACCTACCTCGTATGAAATTTCACGAAGGGCATTTTCAGCTAAAAATATTTCATCTAACGCTAAAGGTCGCGATATATTTGCAAGAAACCGCAAAAAACACGAAAATTGATGATTTTCGCCTATTTTTATGAATTTTCTAGGCTAAGAGGTAGGCCTAGGCTAACTTCTCAGTATCTACCTTGTATAAAATTTCACGAGAAATATTTTCAGCAAAAAATATTGCATCTAGACCTCATAGATCGCGTGATATCAGCCAAAAAGTGCGAAAACACGATTTCTGGGGGTGGTGGGGTGGCTGGAGCCTTTAGCACAGAGTCTGGGAGGTGGGATTTTTAATATGTTGTTTCTGACACCTAACTGAACTTATTCCACCATTTTTTTCTTTTCCACCTCAAAATGTCCAGTTAGATGTCTTTATCGCCTAGACTACATTTCCTGATGGAAAATAGAGAAAATGCCCCCCAATAAAATAATTCACAGAAACGATGAAACTGACCATCAAAGCTCTACTCCAAGTCATTGTTTTCTGTAATATAGGGTGTCAAAATGCAGGCTCACTCGCATCATGTTCTTTTGTTTCCCTTTTGACGGTTGGTTTCTATAAACAAAATTGTGGAAGCGTTTTACGAAAATTGGCTTTAAGGGGCAGTCTCATCCCGATTTGGGTAAGACAAGCATTTTTACCCGACAGAATATGTTGTTTCTGCGTATTGAGTTCTGGCGTCTTCTGAGTAAGTACATATTGAAAAAACACTTGTGTGTTTATTCCACTGGTGCATGGTATTATGCCAAAGATAATTTGGACGCAGTAATTGTATAGGGAAGCTACCTACACTAAATTCGTGTGCCAACATTTTGGAAATAAACTGGAAATAGACATCGACATTTGATCTTTATCTTTGTTTTACGCTTCCATTTATAAAAGCCTTCGAGATATTGCAAGCCGCTATGCAGGATGAAGTTTTTAATATAAAACTAATTCATGTAGAGCAAAGGTTATGAACTTTGTTTGTATGCCGGGTTTAGACCGCAATAAAGAGACGTCGTAAACAGGATGTATTTCATTTGCAATTGAATTCTTTTTTACGCGTGCTGATATTCACTTTCGTTTGACACAAATTGTACTGAATCGGAGATGAAACTTTAATCGATTCCATCAAATTAGTTTCTAGGTATCTACATAGAATAGTATATTAAGATACAAGTGTATAATCAAGTCTTTAAAGCACGCGCAACGAGTTTAAGGGCACGACGCAAAGCGGAGTGCCTTTAACGTTGCAAGTGCTTTAAAGACAATTATACACGTGTATCTTATAGTATTTTTTATTATACCTGCAGTATAATTTAAAAATAGGAAATACAATGAAGTCATATTGACGTTATACTCGAATACATGTCTAATTAAGTGGGCTGGGTGTTCGTAATTTCACGATTGCCATGGAAATGTCACTTGACGTTTGCTTATAAAAATCGTCGTTTTTGTGAATAAAACGATTTCCGTTGAAAAAGATAATACACCGTCCATTAAATCGTTTGTTGTAAAATCTAAACAAACGTTGGTAGGTGTAAAATCCAACTCCAGTAAAGCCTATTATAAAGAATATGAAAAGTTGTTTCCATGGATGAATAGGAAGTTACTTACGATTATTACAGTCTTAAATGCATCCATAATGCTGGCATATTAGAAGGAAATGTCAAAGGTATTTAAATCTTCTATATTTTGGTGCATTCATTCAAAACTTTAAAGCAATGCTGCGATTAAAAAGTGGAACAAATTTGGAAGCATACCCTAAATTACGCGCCTTTGTGAAAGCTTCAACCAAAGGATAGGTACAAAAGCCAAAGAAATGTTCTGCATTTACAGAAAGCGACCTAAGAGGATTTTTTATCTCATCCAGATGACAGTTTCAAAAGTCATACTTGAAGTATCGTTACTTAGCAACTTTAAAGCACGTGTGTTTTAAAGGTCCTTTTTCGCACGCATTTGAGTGTTTAAAACGGAGATTGTGATTCAGGTATAATAAAAAATGTTTTTAGTCATTGCCGCATTATGGATCATTCTTGGCGATTTCGCTGTATTAAATTCAAGTTTACTTATATTTCAATTTCCTTACTACAAAATAGAAACATTTTTCCAATAATTATGTTTCATGAAATAAAGTGAGCCAATCTAAATTTCTCAATTTTATTTGAGTCTTCAAAAGTCCATATTTTCTAAACAGTCGCACGGAATGATCATTCTGGCCAATGAATTTAGTTTGCCTTCTCATAAAGATGATCGGGGAAGATAAAAAGTGGATCGCACCATACGTGTTTAATTCTTTTTTTAGCTTAGTGCCCAGTATTTATTTGCCTCTAAATCAGAACGGGGCTTAAAAAAATAACATATCTATTTAATGTGAAAATTATTAAAAATTTATGACCTTATTGAGGCCAATCGGAATCAAGAAAGTTTAAAAGCAGTTAACAGCATTAAAGATCATTAAAGGGTGTTCGAAGTATTCTAGCATCTTCCACAGTGCACCAGAGAGATATTTAATAGGGAAGAGCCTTTAAAGATCTTTAAAGAGGACCACAAAGCCTTTATAAGTAACCAAATGTTTTCACTGAGCGCATTAATTCTTAAGATCTTTTAAGAACATTTAGGAGTCGCCCACAGCTTTTAAAGATCTTTAAGACTAAGAGTTTATAGGAGTGTTCCAAATTCTTGGCTTTTGTTTGGCTTTCAGAGTATTTTAGTGGTCTGTCTTATACAGTCATCCAGCTATAGATTTTGTCTACTTCATACGAGTAAAAGAAAACTCTAAAAAATAATCTAAAAATTCGATTTGCTCAAGAACAAAAAATGAGAGAGAAGATTGTTTTCGATCGAGCGAGGTAGAGAGAAGGTTTTGGTGTGTGTGTTCGTTACCGAACTATAGGACATACGCTCAGCAATGTAACATGAGTCATTTTAGTTGTAAATCAAATAAAAGTTGTATTTAATATGCACCAGAAATGCAATGTAAATTTTATGAAAACTTGAAAATAATAGAACAATAGTTTTCAACTACGTAAGGATTTTTACATTGCGTTTCAGGTGCATATTATACACAACCATCGATCGGTCGCGTTATAAATGACATTTGATTTACGACTTAATGTTTAATGTTACATTGCTTAGCGTATGGACTATAGGTAGATTTTCTCTTTATTTTTCCTTGTACCATTAAGTAAGCAGGATGTAGGTTAATTGCCTTTATATTATTTGCTGTTGTTTTGCTTGATAGTATAAATTTGAATTTGCAAGACCTTGTCTAATATTGCGCACCAGTTGTAAATGAGTTAACATTTAAATTTTTAAGGGTCATACAGAGGTCGCTTTGTTTATTTTATATACAGCCTGTTTCAGAGAAGGCGCCTTATTTTTTTGGCCACATTATGGGTACTACTTCCAAAATATCTGGCAGTCTTTCAAGATATTCCTACACGATGGTGAGATCAGATTTTCAATTGGACGAATTATTTCAAGATCATCATTTTTTTATTGAGATCATAAAAACACTCATTTTACGATAGTATTTCGTTTTTCTTACAATTTTATTCATTCATTTACGATTTCTCTTATAGTAGAGGCCTGATTGTCGGACGAATATATATGCCAAACACTATATGATATTCTAATTCTAATTTTAACACATTTAAAGAAAATTAATAAATTATCAAGAATGGCTTTCAGCTTTCAGACTAAGCGATCCAGGAATAACACGATAGTACGAATATACTACCGAAAACCCGAAAGTTCTACGATATTCGGTTGGCCAAGATTTTGATCAATTTATAAAAGGCACCCGTACAGCTGACAGTTAGTGGAACAATAACCTCCTTTTTGAGAATCAAAAATGCGCTAAAAAATAAAATTTTCTAAATTCTAACCAAATAAATTTGTTTTACATTGGAAAAGTGGAAAATTCTTAAAAATTTACATTGTCAATAACAGTTCAAAAATGTTTGTATCATAATTTAATTATAAATAATAAATTAATTAATATAAAATGTGTTTACCCGGTACTCCATTGACATATTATTTATGTAACGTTTTATTTTATCCCTCTGAGCATCTGATTACTACCTAACAGAACTGCCACCAATGTGAAGATCAGCAGGGCGGAAGTTCGACTAATGATGAGCGTGCCTGATGTCACTACAAAAAAATTAGTAGAAGCTATAAGGTATTTACATTTAGCTACTTCCTGGTCTGTACTGCTTGAAATCGTGGCGTGTAGAGGAGAACCGATAAGTTGCACCAGCTGCGCTACTGCCAATTGACACCACGGACCCACGTTTCGCTTTGGTCAAAGAACTTTCTAATGTAATTACTACGAGTGCGTACAAAAGTAAGTGCATGATGAATACTGAACGTACTTAGAATACAATCTAAATGGTGCCAGTCCCTTCAAGGATGTTATATACAGTTTGCAGACAATTGACGAATTCCATTAATAATGATTGTGACGATGTTTCTAATTCTTATTTATCAACCTTCCAATAACTGCGTGCTTTCAGGCTTAGTTTGTGCGCGTCAAATTGCCGCTAAATTAATAAATTATCTTCCTGTGTGTCGTTTTCATAAAAAAATATTCTTTTCCATTCTTCAGTAAGATCTCAGCATATGAGTGGTGAGATTTGAAATCTCCATCCGGTCGCAATGCACATACTTATTAAGGGTCGATTAACTTATCTTTCTATGTGAACATGTTATATTTGGTTCTATAGAAATTAACTGTCACATAAGTTTAACTGAGACATTAAACCCAAGTTCAAAGTACCAAAACAAGGTAGTTCTTAAATACGAGGGTGGTCCAAGTATAAATTAGTTCACTGATTTTTCTTTTATTTAATCAAATTTTCCGAAGTTTATCATCGATTTATAAAAAAAGGAATAAGGAACGTTGAAACTCTTTTAGCGGTGGAACAAACTGCATTTTTAACAAATATTTGTAAAAAAATTCGTTAGTTAGCCACATTCCCGTGTTTTTTACTAAATCAGCAATAGTAAGCAGCCACAGCTATCGACTTCAGGTCGTTTACATACGAATCGTGTGGATGTGGAAGTGTGCTATCAAATATCATTTCCGGAAAATCAATTTCCTGTTAAATAAAACATTCACCCGTAAAGGCAAAAATTCATTATCATATGGACCATTTTTAACGCATTTTCCAACGCGCTATTATGGGCACTTTCTCCGTCCGTCCGGTCCGTTCGTCCAAGGCCTTAACTACTCCTACAGCTCTCAAGTTATTTAGTTCGTTTCTTTTTGAATTCGGTATATTATACCTCTGACACGTCAACCAAGAAAATTATTGACTTCAGCCTAGTTTGCATGCGTGACATAACCTTTTGTGGCGCATCTGCATTCCCAGACTCGTCACAAAAGGTACTAATTTAATTCCCACTAAATCAATATTGATTGATACATTTCCCATTGGGATACTGTAACGGTGATCGCTTTCCAATTTTTAAAAATTATTTTCTTCGAATTTGTATTTCTTGTAACATAGGGAGATTTATACTTAAACCCCTTCATATTAAACTTGAATGAAAGTATGTGTGGAGATAAAAACGACAAATGGTGCGCCAGTTCTAGTAACCGCTGTGACGGAGAGGTAGAGGGGCTTTAGAGCATATGTAAATGTATGGAGAAAAACAAGAGAGGTATCCGGGTACGCTAAGTTCTGTTTTCCAGCCGGCAAAATACAAATAGCCAACGAAACGAAAAAGTCAACATTCCCAGTTCCAGAGCAATCCCGTACAAGTTCGTGTAAATTTGTGCGGAGGTACAGGTTCTGTTCAACCAGCAGTAGATATGTAAACGGTGTCGCCTCTAACGTCAGATGTAGATGTAATACGGATGAGGGCGATCCTACGCTATGTGTGAACAATAGATGTTGTACTCCTACTCTATAGGTGAACAATAGGACCTGGGGCAACTACGCAATGGAGAACAGTAGGTGTTGGAGTCTTACGCTATGGGTGAACAGCAGGACAAGGGACAGTCTTCTTCGCTATGAGGAACAGAAATTGCCGCTTGGTTGTGTCGTCCAGGTTGGCTTTGTGGTGGTGACAAACCACAAGATCGAGCGAGCGGCAGAAAAGACGCAAAGCTCTATAAATAAGGTGCAAGTGTGGATGGAGCAGAGAGTAAAACTCAAGCGGCTCTGATAGCCGGAAGGAGAAGACTCCCGGAGGTGACACTGGCGGTAGAGCGAACAAGGATAGTGGCGGGGAAATAAATAGACATATTGGGGCTAAAGATAGATAAGAGCCTGGGCTACATGCAACACGTCCAAAAAGTCACGCAAAAAGCAAGACGAATTGCTGAACAACTTAGCCGGTAGATGGCGAATACGGGGGACCGAATGAGTGGAAGAGAAGGGTGCCCGCCTCGGCGGTCGATAACGTGTTACTATATGGATGCGAGGTGTGGGGAAGAGTAATGAAAACAAAAAAGGCCAAGGACGTGGTGGATAATGTCCAGAGGAAAATGGCCTTAAGGATAGCTTCGGCGTATAGGACAGTATCCAATAAGGATATAGTTGTAGTGGCCCGCACACCTCCGCTGAGGCTAAGGGTCTGAGCGAGGCATGAAGGGAAGAATAAGAAAGACGTACTAAATGCATCGGAAGAAGAGTGGGAGGAACGAGAGTCGTGGACGAAGGGTCTGATGGGTCGGAAGAACCGGCATGAGAAGAATGGGGTTTACCTGAAATGGATAAGAAAAAGAGAGAGGGATGCCTGCGTAGATTGTGGTGAGCTGCACGTGAAAGGTATCGGGTCGCTATCAGGGTAGGGGAAATGATAGAGAAGGAAAGCATAGTGAAGATAATGTTGGAAAGCGAAGAGAAATGGAAAATAATTGCCCACTTGATTGAAAAGATAATAGGCACGCGAGAAAAGGAGACGAGGTAATAAAAGGGATTAGGGATAATCCCCTCTGGAAGAATGCCCTAGCGATACCCAGAAGTGGAGTTTTCCAAATTGTAAGGGAGAAGGGGTTTAGTGGGTGAGAGCCTCAGACTACCTCAGACTAGGTGTGCGGTGGGAACATTCCCTAATTCCCTCTCAGCAAAATAAAAAAAAAAGGTTGACTTTCTGTGGCGAAGATGGCCTGAATTGGAGCAAGTGTATCGTAGCAGCTCGTTTGTTGTACCATCTAAGGGCGGCCGCACACGACCCTCAGATAACCACAGAATTTTGGTCACGTCGACGCACCGACCCAACTTCCCAACAACATTTTTGTGACTGATTTGCGGTCATATGAACCGCAACTGTAATTAAAGCCGATAAATGTATCCGTGTCAAACGTATCATCCGTTGCTACGTTCTTTCGGTGCGATCGCAGAGGTAGAAATGAACTCGTCCCGACCCAGTTGGTTACAGCTTGTGGTTGGTGGACGGTAATTGTGTGGTCGGTCCGATAGCAAAATGCGGCTCGTGTACAGTCACCCTATTCTATTAATACCAAAGGAACTGTAATGGCTTACTATGTTTGAATTCCAATGGTATGCGTATGTGCTGTGCTATGTCTCAGCGACAGGTCTGAGTTTCTTGAAATGTTTCCGGAGCTACGTGTGGCGTCACCAAACAAACGATACAGTTTCAACAAGATGGTGCACCCACGCACAACGCCCTAATCGTGCGAGAATAGCTATGGGAGATAATTTTTATTTTCCAGGAAACTTTTGCCGACGTTACTAATTTAACGTCACTAAACAGCAGTTCAATTTGTTGCGTATAAAGAAAAGATGTTTATTTGGTATAAAACGTTTTGCATTTGCATTGTTCAACTCTACAAAACTCCCCATTAATCCATGTTGATAAAACGTTTATTCCTAAGTAACGTATTTTCTCTACTCGAAAAATAATATCCTTAAATGTCCCAAACAATTGAAAATCTGACGTAACCTAATCAGAACTAAATAAGGGCTGGGGTAAAATCGCGCAACCCATTTTTCTGATGTGTTCACAACAACTTAAACTTGCACGAAGACAACTAATGGATATCGTGCAATAAAAGTGATCCTTGCTAAATACATTGGAGGTTGATGATAGAACAGGATTTCTCTCTAGTGGGCTATGTACACGATAATCGCCTTTCGAATCGCTATCGTGATCCAATTCAGTAGAGACCCATCGAACACCAAAGAAAATTATTAAATACATTAACACATTTAATCGTAATCGGACCAGATAGTTACATTACAACCATAAAAGTAATTCTGGACAGTCCAATCTGAAAAATTATATAGTATAATAATCGTAAATGCAATCATTTGTCGTTTACCTAATTGTTGTACGGCTTTTTACATTGCCAACGCACCCAACGGTTGCCTTTCATTATTTCCAGAAGGGTTGGAGGCAGTCGAATTTAGTAAGACTCCAACAGGCGCCAATGGATTTGAAGGTAACCCTGGGCACGATGACTGTCCAATTTCCGTAGAATTAGAAGTGCAGTTGATCTCCTCGCTCTTTTTTATGTCTTCTTCAGGTTGGGGCATTGCCATGGTTGTTACGCAAAAGTTTGTGGTGTTGCCTGTATTTGCCAGCGGTATTGCGGCGTCGTTTAGCTTGCCTGTTACTGTTACACTAGATACGCAAGGTACGTTAACTGCTCCCGTGCCATTTTTATTTGGAAATTGATTGCAATTATCATCATCACTTTCATTACATGCTACTGTACTGTTGACACACTTCATAGTTGAATTCTCGCCGCACGGTACAGTTTGCTGTGCCAGCGCGACGCAAAAAATGGACTCTTGAGATGTGCATAGTGGAAGCGTATTTGGAGCGCACAGTGAGGTTGTGTTTTCTGGACACATCACAATAGCATTAGCAGGCAGCGGAATTTCTGCTGGAACTTTTTCGGGATTATTGTAATAGTTGTAAACGTAATAGGGCCGGCGAGTAAAGCCCGAAACCAAATTCCAAACGAGTAACCCTATGGCTAAGTTGCGATAGGCGTTTTTACCGAAGCCCATACCAAATCCACCACCGAATTTCTTTCCGTATCCTCCTACGCCGTACCCTCCATACCCCATACTTCCATATTTATTTCCTCCAAATATCGAACCTAACAGCCCAGGTTTTTGTCCACCATAACCACCGCCGTAACCACCGCCGTAACCACCGCCGTAACCACCACCGTAAGGATTGTACATTCCACCACCATAATGTGGATTTTGTTGAAAATTGGGAACCGTTTGGTGCGGATTATACTGATTAGAGCCATATGGGCTACCAAAATTTTGATGCGGTGCACCAGCGCCGTACGAGGGAGAGTTCGCACCATAGGAGTAAGGGGGTGGATTTCCGTGCTGATTGACCCCGGCACTGTAAGCTGGAGGATATCCGTAGTTAGATTGCCCTGCATTGCCGCTGTAAGCCGGCGGATTGCCGTAATTGTGTTGTCCACTGTTGGGAGAGTAAGGAGGGGGATTTCCATACGTGCTCTGTCCAGTATTACCCGGCGAATATGGGGGAGCGTTACCCACATTACTGCTACCAACGTTGGTAACTGATTGTTTGCTTACACTTCCACTATCACGGTTTACGTTCCACCCAATAGGCTGCTGCTGAGTGTTTGTGGGGGTATTCTTGATTTGGGTATCCCAACCGATCGGTTTTTGTTGAACATCGTGTGCTCTTTCTTGATTCAAAAACGCTCCAGATGTTTGCTTGGCATCATTACTTTTAGGCGGAGCGGGTGGGGCTGAAGCCTTGGGGGTCTCCACTGACCCACTCGGTTTCTTTGCCACTTCCGGCAGCGGTTGGTTCTTAGATTTACCTCTGTTGGAGTTATATAGGTCGTAATTACTTCCAGTCGCCGATTGCTTAGATTTGCTCCAAACACTTGAGGATCCTCGATAAGTTCCACCTCTACGTCCACCACCACCACGTTTACTTTCACATGTAGTCATTAATACGGTAATAAAACACAGACACACGATCAAACGGACGATTACTTTAACGCTCATCTTTCTAACCTATTTTGTAGGCCGAAGATTTTTTACTAGAGCACGTATCACTGTATTTGTGTTATATTTCCATTGTAAATTGAATGATGGCCGTTATTAGGAACAATCCGTTCCTTGCCCTAAGTGGCGTGATAAAGTTCAAGTTGATAATTAACTAATCATTTTTGTGTTGCAAAATTATTTGAGGAAGCGTCTTATTGAAAAGGTCATTTTAATATATAATATGATATAGGTAATTAAAAACCTCCCTCGGCGTTATCTTAGTAACTAGTCGGCTGCTTTAAGAATAAAACGAAGACACGTACTAATTATTTAGTTTCCGTCTTACCAATTAGACCGTAATTGCATTTACCAAGAAGACAAAGAGATACTTGCGAACAGGATGTGATGGTCCTATTGTATTTTTACAATTTATTTAACTATACTAAGGGATTATTGCTATACCTAATTGATAAGCTACATACTTAAGACCTACCCACTTATTATTTATTATTAAATTTAACCTGCAGAATTCGTGTTCGAAACTAACTACATGCTTCCATGTGCGTCATAAATCAGTGGTTTTGTAGGTATATTATGTTAATGACGCATTGAAAGCTTTTCCGAAACCTAGTACGACCCGTTTTGGGCAGTAATATCTATACCTAATAAGCAACCAAAAATGCAGAAGGCATGCAAAGAAAACGACGTACTCATGCTATGGTGAAGTGGAAAGTTGGTCTGCATGTACTAATAGCAAAAAATAAAAAATTCCGCTGTTTTTGAATTCTGACAAACAAACTTGAATTTTACAAGCTGAAAGATTTTTGAAAGTTGAAATTCTCTTAGCCGAGGGCATGCGCAATAGGTGCTTTTCTTGAAAGTGAAATAACTTCTCGATTCGGGTGCGAAAAATTTCACTTTAAGCTGAAATTTTAGGGCTGCCAACTGGACATTTAAAATCAATGTTATGTTTTGTCTCAGTGGATGGTCATTTGTGTTGACGGGCAGATTATTCAGCGAAAATGACAACTGCACAGAAATAAAAGAGAAACATGTTATGAAAGACGTCCATATAAACCTATATGTTTTAGGTTGGTCTTAGCAAAATTTCACGTCACTTTTCACTTTCAGCATTTAAAACGGGAGTTCTGGAGGCTGATTAAATTAATGTCGCTGGCCCGCCCTCTTGAGTCGTAATTATAATATGACTCGATCGATCGATTAATGCGATGTAATTTTTATAGTTGTTGCATTGGTTTTCTGCAGAGTTTACTACATCTGCATTACGATAGCAACTACCCATATCCTTCTTTGGACTAATATAATTAGGTTCAGTATTCTTCCCACTCTTTCAAAATCTATGATTGGCCGGATGACACGCGCTTATACGTTTTTAAGGACACCTACAGTTAAAATTATTTTGTCGTCTTGCTTTATTTTTTTACTTTTTTCTCTACAGTTTTACAACAATTTTCTTCGGGTTATCCTTGTTCCAAAATTGTTGATTAATTTCTATTTGTCTTTCTAAATTAAGTATTTGGGAACCTTTTTAGACGTCAGTTTCATTGTAAGGTAATCTTACTTAGTGCCTTTTCTTCTGACTTGCGTTTGTTCCTCCAACCAGCGATTTTTCATAAATCTTTCTCTTTCATAGATTTTTGTTTCTTGTAATTATACATTTTACACTCATCATAACTGGTTGCAGTTCTGTGTATTATTTCTAATATCTTTGGCACAGGCGGCGTATGTCTGCTTTTTGGCGCATTTCCACAAAAATTCAAAAAAATCGCTATTGTGTCCGCTTTGTCCGTCTGTCTGTCCAGTCCCTACTAGTTCTTTATCTTAAGAGCTATTGTTCTACTTTTTTCGCTACTTGGTTATGGTGTCGAGGATGGCACCAAGGGAGGAATTTTTTTATACCGCTTAAGAAAAAAGTTATGGTAAGACATCTATGTTTTTCATGTACTATAGGTAATTTTACACTTTTGCCGTTTATTAACAATCCTCGGCATCGTTTATAATGTTGTAATGCTGCCTGCCTGCCTGTCTGTCCGTCCACCTGTCTGTCCGCGTGCAGTTATGCACGATAACTTTTGTATTTGCGCAATCCAATTTTCTTTTTTGTTAAGGTATTTAAATGAAATTTTGTACATAGGCATCAAATAAACGTAAAACTAATGCCGAATCAAAAAATGCGCAAACCGATTTTTAGTGCACTTTCACTTTCAAAAAATAAAAAGTGTACTTTTGCGCTCTTGGTTGTCTGTATGTCACAAAGGCTCCGGAACTACACCACTTGTAGACTTGGAATTGGTGTCATTCGATCAGAAATTAAACATTATTTCATGTTTGTATTCTCGTTAACGCGTGACATGTCCATACGAGCTATTAAAATCGAAAAAACAAATTTGAAAGTGCACTATTCGCCTCTTGCTCACTAGCGGCTTTACGATTTTTTAAAAAATTTGTGATAGATATTTAAATGAAATTTTGTATGTGCGCACCTCAAATAGAGGCACTGGACCAATCAATAGGGTCCGTTAACTTGCTCCTTCCCCCCTCCCACACACACTACGTATTTTGTGGCTTGAATTAAAGCTAGCGTCATCACGGTTAAGCCTTAACAAATTTTTGAAAAGTTTCCAATAGTCACGTTTTTTAACATGTTTTTTACACTACATTGTATCTTTCTTCATGTGCGGTAAACAGAAATTGTTGCGCCATTGTGGTTTTATACAAACCCTTTGCTGTATTTATGGGTATGCGATTAAACAATCTATGGGACAAGTACAACGGTTTACAAAACAAAAAATATTGTAGCAACAAGAGACGTGAGGATTTTTATGATACCACTTAGTACGCCCATAAATGCATTTTGCAATAAAAAAAAACATTTACTATATTTGGAAGGTACAACACAGTGTTAGATATATTTGTAGTACACAAACATAATGATCCTCAAATTTGGCATAAAAGAGGAAGTTAATTCAGAAAAGTAAAATCGAAGGTGCATTTTAGCTGACACCTTATGATACAATTTAGTATAGCAACATGATAAAAAAAAGTAACTTTTAAAAACATTTAGATGGCCCCTCCCACTTTTTGAAAAGTTGTCTTGACTTAATTGTGATGACGTTAGCTATAGGTAACTCAAGTGGCGCGGCGTAATTGGGCGCATAACCAGATGTACCAGGTGGTATGGGTACCAGCTACAAAATACGTGCGGAGAGGGAGGGGGGTGATAAGTACCTTGTTAAGTTGGTAATCTTTACTTGACACTCCTGCTAACATACTTACGCAGATGCAAGACTTGACTTTACTTGTCGTTTATTAATTTTTTATTTCTATTATTATTTAAACAAACTATTTCAATACCTCAAATCTGCGTCCAAATGTCGTACCCAAATATCTTCGTTATGACGTTTTGAAGGAGATAGTGGATTAGACAGGTAAAGATGAAGAAGTCGTATAAGAGGATGACCATGCCACCCCTTGTATGAGATGTTGATAATAGTTATGTTATAAATAAAGTTAATGTTGCAATTTTAGTAGTTACTAATAGTCTACTACTGACCAGTTATAACCTGTGTGCAGCATCCCTGCTAGATTATCAGGTTATGTCCCATAGGGAGAGTAATGAGGGGGGGAAGACGTTGAAGTCTAATGAGATGGCGGGGGAGGGGGGTTGACGTTGAGGCGTAATGATTTGGAGAGCTTGACTGTGTGGTAACGTTGTTTGTGTCGTGGATCAGCTCTCTCCAATCTACACTTCAAATAGCACTTGAATGTGGACAAATTACAGTTACAAGGGCTACTTTTGCTAATTCCGTGGTTTTAAATCCATTTATTTTACTTCTTGAATTCAGTCACAATCGTAATTGACAAATAGGAAAAAATCAACAGCCAATCATCACGATGCGTCCTCATAAAAACTACTCCAAATACTTTTACAAATTTAAAAAAAGCAAAATATTATCGTGGCAAACACACCATATCTTCCCCTCTCTCAATGTCTATGTCTCATCATACATACCATCATTCTGGAGAAACTCGTAGTGGAGGTTTACGCAAACGTGGAGCTCTCCGTGGAGTGTTTCGCAGTTGTGTGGCCGACCCTCTGTGGATCGTCTTACATTGGCGTAGTCTCGGGCGTAGTATTATTGGTTTTTCGTGGATTGCCTTACAGTGGTGCGGCATTCAGGCGAGGGGTTGCAGTTTGCATCCTGGAGGCAGTCTAGCTCCCTGAAAGGTCCCAGAAAGAGCTCCTGCTTCCAGCTGTCGACAACTCAACGCGGTTCGCAATTTTTTGAAGCGATGTCTGAATTTACAGAATTTGGTCCATCGTAATGCAAGCGACCGTACCGCAGGTCGGGGTCTCTGTGATGCTGTCTATTCAGACCATTGCTGGGATTCCGGATGTTGATCGACCAGGAACCCACTTGCCCATTCGTGGGGTATCCGGGAGAAAATAAAGCCTTGTGCTGCGTAAAACAACCGAAATGAGTTCAGTTCAGTGATTGTTGTGTACAGATCGTCATGTTTGAATAGGTCGTAGTGATAGTTCCAGAAAGAGTTGTGCAGGAGACTATTCTGTGATATAGTGCGGGACTTTCCCGGATTGACGAAGAAATTCTATGCTAATAATAGGTACATTCAGGTTATGTTATGATACAACATAACCTGAATGTATTAGCTGTGGGGATTATTTTTAGGGGATCCTTGATGGTTGAGTGATGAGTAACATTTTTCCAGCAGCGGGACCGGCGTAATCGACATGAATCCGTTCCCAAGGTCCGTGGCGTGGGGTTATTTACAGTGATGTTCCCGACATTTTGACGGCGTAAGTGCATACCTGGCGCAGTTCTCGTTAGATTTGGATGTTCGATCAAGTAGCGATTTTTCTGGATGCATGATCTGCAAGAGTGGTAGTCATTTTTGTTGGTGACCACCACCCGATGCGATTTTTGATTCAATTTCCTGGGCATACGGGTCGCGTGGTGCTAACGGAATTTCTCTTACTTTTGCGGACTGGCGTTCCATCACGTTCCAGATGTAACGTTATAGGTGAACCCTCTAGCAGACCAACCTTGTTACTGAATGCATCTTGATGTTTAGTTAACACTATATCCATTTCCAGTTTTTGATATGGAGAAAGGGAGGCTGCCACCTTGGATACTGTGCGATACTGCTTCGGTTCAGGAAACAGTGCAGAGAAATTAATTTCAGAGACAAGGGTGTGTAATCCACTCTCGGCTCAAACGGGTATTAAAATCTTCCTCGATAACAAAGATTAAGTGTTTGCATTTGGATCTAATCCAAAACTCATTTTAATAAGCAATGCCGCTGTAACTATGCATATAATATTCTTAATTTATTTACTACTGGAACGAGTATAATAAGTATACTCAGCTGTGGCTATACCTACATGTTCTCAAACTCAAAATGACATGGATCTATTTAAATTTTTTCCTTCCGGTTCGAGATACCATCCTATTGGCTTTTGGCTGTCGTTCTTCCCAGACGATTCATGCATAGTCGGGCTACTGGAGAAATTACTTACTCCTAAACCTGCCTCAATATGTTTAAATTAATGAGATGCACAAATTGTCGTGTTACCTTCACTTCCAACGCAGGCAATTAAGCAATTTAATGCGCACAAACAAACTATATAATTAGTAACCGTTAAGGACATTCTTGAGAGTGGGTACGTGAGTTTCCTAGGTGGATTCGAACGTCGTTTCACCAGAACAGAACCGTTTAGTATGAATGGAAACTTCAATTGAATGATAGAACTCATTATTTTTTTGATTTATTAATGTTAATAGCATTGAACGAGCGCATTTGTCATACATTTATTCAGCGTTAAGTAGATTAAGGTCGAATGCCAAAATTTTATCCAGATGCGAATCTAAACTTATAAAAAATACACTCTCTTTTACTTTGATTTTTAGTAAATCTCCATTCGAACAACGTTTACAAAGAAGCAATAACAAAAGTTTACAGTGTGAGAATCCTTAACAAATCACACACTACTAATAGTTTTCCTAACATTATTGTGTTTTATTGTAAAAGTATGAAAAGTTCCAATAAAGCATTGTATCCAAAGTCGAACTGGAATCTGAAACAAGAAGAAAATCGTTAGTTTCTACTGACAATTATTTGTTAGATAACTTTTACCAAGAAATATTTCGCAAGTAGTTGTGAAAAGTACCACGTCAAATGATTACCAAAATTGCAACAAATGGTCGCATTTCATCTTTGAATTGTAACAGAAAGAGAATTTTCGAATTTCGAAAACTTTTAGCAATATAGAAGCACATAAGTAGGTAACTAAATAAGACACAGTCATGGTTGTAGGTAAATTTCAGACTTAGTTTTGTAAATATAGGGCACACGAGCCTAGGACACGAAACAATGATCAGTTTTGAGTGCTTCTGCCTATAAATTTTACAATAGGCCAGTTTTTACTTGTTAATTTTGGAAAACACTCCACTTTACTGGTATCAATATTACAAACACGGATCGTTTAGTCCACTTTCTGACGTGAGGGCTTTTGTAACAGGTGGACTTTTAATGCTACAATTTAAAACCATTTTCAACGAAATTGCAATTGATATACTACAGGATAATTTATAAAAAAGTTGCATTTTTAGAACCCGCTGTACCTATATTAGTGCATATTTTGGTTCCTCGATTAATTTTAGTATGATTTTATCTTACACTTGACACCTAAAGCAAGTCCTTTAGCTGCAATTCGTCAACGTTGTTTTATTTTAGGGTGTTATCTACCCTTTAGTTATACTAATATCATATAGGTATACTATGCGTAATGCGTCTTAGACCAACATTTTTTCCATGCGCCTTCGNTTTTTAAGAGCTATAAAAAAGGCTAGAAGCATGGTTTTCTTAAAACCAGGGGTTATTGAATTATAACCAAAGTACGCAACTGCATGAATACGAAAACCTCGGATTTTGACGTCATTTCCGATAACCGGAAGTAGGAAGTAGTCGTGTAATATATCGCTGTAAAGGTATTTTTAAGAGCTATAAAAAAGATCAGAAGCATGTTTCCATAAAAACTTATAGTTCCTGCAGAATAAGGCACTCCCCATATTAAGTAAGGCCTAATCTTTGAACGGCCGCCATTTTGTTTTTTGATAACTTTTTGTAGGCCTCCCGATCTTAAAATCATCAGGACAATACCCTAATCAATACCTGTGAGTTTCATGTTTTCTTCATCTAATGCGCAATTTTTACTGAAATCTGCCAGACTAATGCAAAAACACAAGCCAACGGCTCTAACGATTAAAAAAAGAATACTCATAAAATGTTAATAGGGCGGGGTTAGCATAAAGGTGTAACCCCTCCCCTCTTATTTTTTATACATTTGACATACATTACATAAGAATTTATATAAAATGAAGGCAATAAAATAAAAATTAAAAAAAAATTTGTCTACTGAGAGTGCAGTAATATTTGTAGTATTATGTTCATCAAATATTTTTGTTTCAATGTTTGATTGTTGTCTACACGTTCCACAAACCATCCTTTTAGTGCACAAAAAAATATAATCTCTCTGCGTTTTAAAAATTATTATATATTTGTTTAAGAAAACCAATTTTGACATAATAATCTGTGTAATGTGAAACCACTGAAAGTTAATATATCATTTGTGTTATAGTGTGATAATAATGGGTTATCAATTTTGTGGTTTTAAAACCGTAGAGCTGCCACTTTACAGCTGTCAAAAAAGATATCTGTCAACCGTAGTGTCAAAGTTTTAGTTGAATGTCTGACATTTACGAAAATGGATTTGTTATCAAAAGCTAACGTGTTAAAATTGTTAAAACCTACTACAAAAGTGCAGATTCAAACGTAACCACGTTTCGCGCAAATAGGGACGATTTGACCTTCATAATCGTCCTACTGTAGTCTGCACAAACAATTGGTAAAAGAGTGAAAAAATTCGACAAAACGGGGTCCGTGTTGGATGTTCAAAGGCCTGTGCATCATCGTAATGTACACACACCTGAAGATATCGCTGCTGTAAGTGTGGCGGAACACCAAAATTTGTCGATACCATGGCGTTGTCAGCAAATGAACCTTTCTTACGGCTTATTATTGCGAATTTTGTATTAGGACTTACACATACATGCGTATATACAGGCTGTTTCACGCAAACCGTTACCTAAAAGTGTTCAGACTTCCATCAATAGTTTAAATCGGAAAATTTGCATACCAACATAGTTTTTCATGATCTATCGAATGAAATAGGTACGACATTCATTTGAGCACATCGAGTAGTTCCTTATAGTGTTATCGAAAGTTATCTAAGAATGACGACGTAATGTTATTTTTAGTCTCTTAATCATTTTATTCTCACTACTTGAGACATTGTCACAGATTTCCCTAAAATATACGCGTCAGACTACAAATTATCGCCTCTTGGAATAAGTTCTGTAGTGCAAACCGATACATCTGTTCGCTATAAATTTTTTAAGTACGCTGCTGGAAATGTTAATGACTGTATATTGGCGTAATTTTGCATAATGTAACAATAAAAAGTAATTGCTATGAGTGTATACTAGCAAAATGTCGTTGGTAACAGTTGAGTGTTAGTATAGTTATACAAAAACGAAATTTCACATTGATACGGTTTACGTGTCTCGGTACATCTCGTCGATTAGGAAAATGTAAGAGGGTAAAAACAAGAACAGATCCCAAAATAAAAAAAAAAATGTTCCTCCTACTTGTAAATGGACGCGCGGACTGATGGAGGAACGGACAAATCTCAAAATATGAATGAAATCCATTAATTGGAGCTGGTAGGCTGCATCGATATAATCTTCGAATGTGGACCAGCCTTTGGGGATAGATTATCCTAATGTTTTAAGCAACATTTTTAGTTAGTGATGTGCGTGTCCCCTTTCAACAGTAAATTGTAACGTCTTATCCTCCCCCCATTGAATACTGTGTTTTTTATTCACTGCTATTACTAAAGAAGACGAATGTTTGGCACCATCTACTTCATATATTGAGGAATATACATACACCGTGGAAAATTTACAGGGTGGTGACTTGCGTAACGCATCATAGGGATTTCAATGTAAAATTCATAACATGCGATTATTGGCTCCCCAAATTATTTTACAGCAAAGATGTATTAAAGCTTTTTGTAGAAAAAAATTTTTTACGCTAATCAACCGTATTAGTTTTCAATCTTTTTCATATAAAGACGGAAAATTGGAAAAATAAAACCCGCATCTTTTTCAATAATCTGCGATGCCATGGAATTTTCTAAAACAAAAAGATATCCAGTTAGCAATTAGAAGCACTTCGAAATGGATTTTATGATCGACTTGATTACTGTCTTGCAGTTAATGGTGACTTATTCGAACATTTATTGTAAATTGTTATATTAGAAAACCGTTTTTAGCAATTTGGTCTTTCTTTATGTTGAATTCGTTGTTCTAAATATAATATCTTTTGATAGAATTTGATTTTTTTTATAGCAGACATTCCATGGCATCACAGATTATTGAAAAAGATGGCGGTTTTATTTTTCCAATTTTCCGTCTTTATTATGCAAAAAATTGAAATCTAATACGGTTGATTGACGTAAAAAATTTTTTTCTACAAAAAACCTTAATACATCTTTGCTCCAAAATAATTTGGGGAGCCAATAATCGCATGTTATGAATTTTACATTGAAATCCCTATGATGCGTTACGCAAGTCACCACCCTGTATAGTAATCTACTTAGCATAGGTCGACAGCCCTTACTTTTTCTAGGAAAGAATGTGTATAATTCAAGAAGACAACTTGCTGGTTTTTTCATTTACATTTGAAGTAAATTGAAAGAATTCGACTTATCCACGATGAACGGCTCTCCACTTTTTCGTGCCCACAGGTAGATCTGCCGAAGTCGTAAAACGCTGAGAGTAGGTCATACTAATTGACTTCGTCTATACACAATCCTGTTTCCAATCATGTAACAAGCCATCTGCGTTCTGTTACAGGCGATTGTAAATAAATACATGCGATATAGAAGTATGAATTGCATACCAATGACGCAAATAAATTTTTGGCATTATTTCAATGAACATTTTTTAAGCTGTCGCTTTTTTTTTCAATTCGGCAAGCAGCTATTAGTCTATACTAAACAAATACGATTTTTTAGTACTAAAAACATACTCATTCGAACGGCTTCACGACGTTGCCCTTGTGATCCCTGAATTTACCACGAAGAGGTACGGCGATAACGTTTCTTTTGCGTCTGCTCTTAACAACTGGTTCTTCCGCAACCTCTCCTTGTACATCTTCAAGCCGTATAGGTAAGGCGTGAAGGGTTTCCATCGTTGATGTCTGTGTTTTTGTTTGGCCTTCGGACATTCTTAACTGCGTGCAGAAATGAACACCGGTCACTACAATTTACTACTAAACCACTAAGTACCTACCACGCAAGTTTCTTCCCACTAACGTTACACGAGACTAAAGTGATTTAAAATTGACATTCACGTTGATTTTATACTATATTTAACGGGGACGATATCTCTCTTACGCTAGTACTACTACGCAATCTATGGTACAATACAAATTCCTGTGCCACGAGTGTACCAGGTAACCGTAACTAATCGAATCCTTCCTTTACTTGAAAAAATGACTCAGTAAATGTTAGGTAATTATTTTATTTCGGCAACCTTCGAGGCAAATTGTTACGTCCATGTTAAACGGTCAAGGTCGATTAAATTTTACTAATTTTCATTGTTGCTATTATTTTTAGATGCGCTAGTCGTTATAATTAATTATTGTGGCGTACACTAATTAGATGTCTCTCGACTGGGGTAAAAAATGTCGTTCGATGTTTTAATTGCAAACTCTAATAGTAAATTTCCCTTCCTGAAGGATAGTCAGCTAATGATTTATATCGTCTTTCGAAGTAGTGTCGCAACCACAACTTATAATGCAAAAAGGACGAATGTTGTCCTAATAAAAGAAGCAGCAAATCTAGAGCTACCCTTTACACCTGAAAATAACCGACGAAACCGCAAAATCTCATTAAGGTCGATGAAGCTCTTGAAATAGTGAAGATTTTGAAGAAGTTAATCGAGAAAATGAAGAATTAATGAAGGACCTACTGCATCCATCAAATCAAACATTTACAATTTGCAAAGTAGTCCAAAGTAATTAGTTTTGAATTTTGGGTTGGTCATATTGTATTATTGTCGTTACAAAATATAAAAATTTCACACAGAGCCAGGTCACTAAAAATGGTTGCTATTTTCTTATGAACAGTTGTGCAGGGTATTACATTTGAGTTGTCAGTTTTTCAAATTTTACATTTGAGTAATTGTTATTGTAAAGGTTTCACTACTCCATTGATTTGACAGGGATGATGACATTATTCCGCGTTAAGGTAGGGTTGGAAAATGTTTCAGTAGAATAACAGAAAAATTGGCCTGCCACTCAGTCAGCTTCTCCATGACTCCTTAATTTCAACCCCGACAGCGCGGTTTTGCTACTAAATGTGGGCATGAAGAACATGGAATTAGACTGTGATCATCCTAAAACTCTACAACTGAATTTGCTAACGCATTCAGTTCTTTTGATCCCGATGCAATGATTGAGGAAGTGAAGTGCAAATCACTGACTTTAATTCCTTTCTTCAACCAAGTATATTCTACTCAGTCGACTCCAGGACTATTGCGTCACAAAATGGATGCCACCAAGGTGAACCTACAGGTTCCTATCTATTCTGTTTGGCCTTGCAACCAATACTTGAGAAGCTCCTTCTAAACTGTGCTTATTTTATATGGACGACGGCACATTGACTGGTGATCCGAACGTGATATTTAAAAGACTTCAGATTTCGGAAATCTAATGGAAAATGTGAAAAGATTGATCTTAAAATAAACACATCTAAATCTCAATTCTTTTTCGTCCATGCCTATGATGAACATAATATAGCTCAACATTTTCAAGAACTATGCCGAGAAATTCAAACTGTAACCGATTTGAAAATTCTTTGATTCCCCATCACCCTCGACGTAAAAAAGTTTTTGATCAGAAGATAAACACTTTAAAAACACCTATTTCCTTCTTCGGACCTGTTTCGTAATCCCCAAATTAACATATCTTCTCTGCACCTGTCCCAATTCTCTGCTCTATCTACTACTTGTATCTTAACACCTTTACCAATTAAATCCGGTAGTCTCGGAACCCATTCTGCGGTTGATATTGGATTTCCCAAATTTTTTTCCTCTGTTAATTCAACCTCTAAGTTGGTATGTGCTATGTTAAACTTTATCAACTTGCTTTATGATGTTGGATTGGATTTGTGGAATTATTAAACATCAGCTAACTACCTCCTCGCAACGAAATTGGGACCAAATCAATATCAATAGGATTGTTGAAGGACTAGATCTGTAAAAAAACCTTTTTCCCATGCTAATTGCCCATTTTCGGTTTTGGAATATTCACTCGGTATAGTTTCAGTTCCATTTAAAGCGACTTGGGGTTTTAGGTTTACAAGCCTTTCTAAGAGTGCTGGAATTGCAAGTCTTATTGGATGAATTTGAACTTGTGATTCACAAATCATATTGCAAAGACTTCGTGGTTTTATAATAAAGTTCTTTTATAAAGGGCTTCGGCATACATAATGACACGCGAAATATGCCTGAGCAGGTCATTAATGAAAAAGAGGAAAATGAGTGGCTCCAAAACACCTTGATGTGTTCCAAGGTTAATATCAAACTCTTTGGAAGAGCCACCACGTGTAACGGTACATTCCCGTTACGATTCAAATTTTTAGACAATTCTAAAAGGAAAAATAGGCACTGAGATAACAAATTCAAATACAATTAACCAACTTTATGCTTATTCGTAAATAATCAACAGATCTACTCTACACTGGTTACTATATAGTATTTCAATCGCCTGAATTAGATGATATCTTAAGGGGCCTTTGTTTTACAATTTAAATTGCTTCATAAATCTTAGCCATGAGCCAAATAAAAAATTTGCGTACGGGCGAAAGCGCAGGGGTAAATTTTTTAATTGTGGACCAATTTTTGTGAAATTTTAACAGTACTTCTTATAAAAAGAAATTGAATATCGACATCAAAACATGCTACAGCGATTAGGAATTTTGCTCAATAAACTTCTAAGCGATGCATGAGAAGTAACTACAATAAAAGGAAAGTGCTGGGTCTCAACAGATGCTACCGTGCGGAAAAGCTAGGTTTTGAAGAAACTCATTTTGTTTAACATTACACAGGTTGCGATCGAAACATTTCTGTAGAAAAAAGCTACTACTCTACATGTAAGTTCGCTTTTTTTCTGAATAATGTGAATGTTTATGTGTTTCAGAGTGATTGAAGAACTATGGCCATTCAATGCTATGGCGAATCTATGTAATGGCACGGAAGAGGAACGTTTCATTGACCGTATTCGAGCAAATGCGTATCGCAAGGCAACGGAAGCTGGTGCACAATTCATTCACACAAAATGGATTGCCGAGAGACTCCACCACGAAGTGATAGGTGGGTTACGGCAACCTGGAAAAAAGGTTATGATAACTGTAAAATAAGATTTGGATAATGGCGACCTGAGAAACGTTGGCAAAGATGTCGGAGCAATGCAGATGTTACCGTGGAAATCTTGCAAAAGACAGAAAAGGCTATGCCACGTAAAACAGTGAGACGATACCGAAAAAGAAGAGCATTAATACCCTTTCACGTGATCCCTAATCCCATATTGCAGATCGTCTCTGGTTTTGCAATTATCTACGCGACTGGGATGAGAGAGATTTCATTCACCTGGCACGCAGTTCTTCATATGGACCAGTAAAGAGACCTAATTATCAAAATGACCGAGCCTGGGCACTTTCAGTAGATGAACATTATCAGGAGCTGTCGAAAAAACTGGAGTGCTTGGGATTATTTGTGTGCTTTAAGTCAAAGAGAATGATGTGGGTTATGAAAAAACAAGGGCAGTCATAGAATTGTGACTATTTCAGGGATACAATCTTACAGCAAAACGTTTTCTCTTTCTTGCGAGGTTCAGGTAATAATAATAATAATAATACTTCTTTATTTCTTACTATATACAAAATGAAGTCTTTTCAATGCATAAGAAGAAATACGTCCTAATGTATTACATTTACCTACTATTCTAAAAATTCGTTAATGGAATAGGGTTCCATGTTTATTAAAAATTGTTTTAGTCTTCTTTTAAATTCGTTAATATCCCTAATCAGTTTAATACTTTCTGGGAGATGGTTAAAGAATTTCATTGAATTGTAGTAGGTGCCCCTTCTAAACAATGACAAGTGGTATTCAGGTATTCCATAATTTATTTTGTTTCTCGTAAGGTACTGATGGTTTAGGGAATTAGTTCTAAAGTATTGAGAATTTTTAAATAGAAATATTATACATTCATAGATGTATAATCCGTATATGGTTAAGAGCTTGTTGTGCTTAAAGATGTTTCTGCAGCTTTGTCTATTATTTAGCTTGAAGGTTACTCTAATGGCCGTCTTTTGTATTTTAAATAGTCGCTGCATTTGTGAGGAGCCTCCCCAAATGATTATACCATAGTCCATATTTAAGTATTGATACAAAATTTGAGTGGTATATGCGTAACCTATCTTGTATCTCAAGCAGCTGTGCCATGATGCGGAGACTGTAACAGGCAGCATTTAGTTTCGGACGTATCATACTGAAATGCTCCGAAAAATCAAGATGCTGATCTAAGCGGATTCCCAGTACCTTTAAATGATTAACTGTCGTTACTTCCATTTGTGCTTTGTTGGACGAGAATGTTAGTGACTTGGGAGTTATCATTTTAGATTGTTTTGTTTTAAATATAATAGACTGAGTTTTGTCTATGTTTAATTGGAGGCCGTTATTTTCAAACCATTTACTTAGTTGAAGTACCTGAGTTCCGTGACAGTGTGTCAGATTAGAAATATCTGATCCAGTCATTATAACATTTGTATCATCTGCATAGTTAATGAGTGAACAGTTGTTATTTGACATTGAAACCGATTGTAAATCGTTTATAAAAATGACAAACAGCAGTGGAGCTAATTTGCTTCCTTGTGGTATTCCTAAAATAATTTCGAGGGGTAAAGATGTGAAACAGAGGTTATTCTGCTGTATTTGAACGTACTGCTGACGATTAGAGAGGTAACTTTGGAACAACTTCAGGGCCACTCCTCTTACACCATAATTTTCCAATTTATTTAACAGTATTGTATGTTTAACGCTATCGAAAGCCTTGGACAAGTCTAAAAATAGGCCACATGTTATTTTACCTTTATCTAGGGCCTGTATCACGGAGTTTGTAATTTCGAACAACGCTGTATCTGTACTTTTCCCTGATAGAAAACCATGTTGGAACGCATTGAAAGTAACTCGTGACTTAAAGAATTTTAACAGTCGATTATATAAGACTGATTCAATTATTTTGCTAAAGGTACCTAGCTGACTGATTGGACGATAATTGTTCACAGAATTGCGATCTCCCTTTTTATGTAGCGGTTTGACGACTGCAATTTTAAGAACGGTTGGAAATATCCCATCACTTAGCGATCGGTTAAGAAGCGTAAGTAAGGGATAGCTAATA